CCCCACCCCCACCCCCACTCTCTCTCCCTCTCAGGCTTACAGCGGCCGGCAGAAGGTGCTGCACGTCATGGAGTGGGCTAAGATCCGGAAACTGCCAGAGCACTTGCAAAACCGTGTGCAGGTGGGCAGAGGGGGGGGAGGGGGGAGGGGGTTAAGACGAACCGAGGGGGGAAGGGGGGAAATCTAGGCGGCGCGAAGAGAGGGAGGTTTGTGTTTTGAGTGTATTTTGAGTGTTTCTGCGTACGTATGTATGTGCGGAAAGGGAGGGATTTAGATATTCGGTGCGGGAAGGGAGGGTTTAGGCATTCGGTGGCAAGGATGGTTGATTTAAACACCAAGCCCTCCATACCCCCATCATGCATCTGCCCATCCCTGTCCACTACCCCTCAATGCCCCGATCCGCACAAACCCCATGTCTCCCTTCACTCACTCTCGCCTGCCTCTCCCGTACTTTTCTTCTCCTTCAGTATTGCTGGTCTTACTTTGGAGTATCCATCTAAGGTTTGTTCTTCTTCTCGTCAGTCGTCTGTGCTTCGTCGTACTCCCCCCTCTCCTCCCCCTCCCCCTCTGCTCCCAGAATTTCTTCGCCGACAAGTACGGCGGCAAGGAGGAGGAGGCGCGGGACCACGTCATGCTGGACGCGCTGCCCAGCAGGCTGAGAGCCAAGGTGGCGCTGTCCATCTGCGGTCCCCTCCTGCGGGAGGTGCACATCCTGTCGAACATGCCCAGGAGCATCCGGGTAGGGCGCTGGCAGGGGGGACTGTGACTTGGCTGCGGACTGTGTGGGCCCATGTTGGTTGGTTGGTTGGTTCGTTGGTTGGTTGGTTGGTCGGTTGGTTGGTTGGTTCGGGGGGGGGAATTAATGTGTCATGCGGAAAGGCAGGAATAAGGCAGGATAAGAAATTAAATATGGAAAATGGAATAATGGAATGAATTAATACTAATAATAAAAAAGAGAATGAGGCTGAGGGATGTGGAGTATGAATCCATGAATCTTTACAACCCCTCTTTTAATCTCCCATCGGATCGCTGCGTCCTGGTGTTGATGCCTCCCCTCCCCTCCGATCCTTAACGCCGGCCCCTTCCCCCCATTTGCAATTTTCCCCTCCCCTCTCTCTCCCCCCCCCCCCATTTCCCCTCCATATCCCAACCCCCTCAAACACGTACCTACACACGCACACGTCCCTCGCCGTTGTAGGACCTCCTTGCAGAGCACATGCGACCGTTGCGGTTGCCGGCAGGTACGGACGAGCCAGAGAGGTTGGGAGAGGTGGGAAACGGCTGGGAACTTCCTCTGGCGGTTGGCGGTTGGCGACATACCGGTCAACCTAATTGATGTCCAATGCACGCACCCACGGGTAATCCATTAGTCCCGTACGACATACGCGAACGTTTTGGGCTCGGGGGTTAAAGATGCCCGTGCCGTACTCTTGTTTATCTCGCCGTACTGCCGTATTACCATCGTACACTTCCTGCACAGGTGAGGACCTTTGCCAGCAAGGCGACGTCGCCAGCTGTCTTTGGATCCTGTACGAGGGCGTCATTGAGGCTGTACGATACAAGTACGACAGCGCGGGATGCGTCGGGACGGGATGCCGATGAGGGCATGGCGGGGGCTCGGGGGTTGGACGCATATATATGCGCATATATATACCCATCCAACACCCTATTTAGCTCAACCCTGTGCCCCATATCCGCAATATAGGCTCCGAACGCGCTCCCCCTCCCCCCCTTCGTTCACTCGTTCGTGGTTCGTCTCCCCCCCCCTTCCGTCTCGGGGGGTTTGCCTCGGCTCTCTTTTGTGGCCGTATGCCTGGGCACAATGACTTTTATGGTTGTCGTACGGTAAATTTTAGATTTTTCCCTGATGTGTTGAGTATAAACCCTACACTATCTTGCTTCGCTTTTTGCGCTTGAACCGCTTTTGAATGCGTATGCTCCTGGAACGCTATCTTGCGGAACTGTACGTCGGTATTTCTCCTGACTCTTCCTCCCTTCCCTCCCTCCCTCCCTCCCCTTCCGTGCCCTCGATCCCTTTGACTCCGTACTCCAGGGAGGCCCCTGTACCGGTGTCATCTAAGGGCCAGCCCCGGCTTTTGGGGGAGAGCATTCTACTAGGGGAGGCTGTTGAGGCGTCCAGGTAGGTTGGTGGCTGGTATGAGTTGAAGGAGCTGGTAAGAAATAGCTAAGGGCCTCCGGCTTCCAGAATTCTTTTTGCCACACTGCCCATCTGAACATCTTTTGCCCTAAGACGCTACCTCCGAAGACTCTATAACGACTTTTCTAAAACCCTAAAACCCTAAAACCCGGGTGACACCTAACACGAGTTCCTTTCGAAAACCCCGCCCCTCCTGGCATTCAGGATCCGCCCGTGGACCATTCGCACCAAGTCCCCTTGCCGGTTGTGGGGCATAGCCCTTCGGGAGCTCTACCCGCTGATGAGGATGTACCCGTGTATCGGCCAGATGGCTGCGGAGTACGTCAAACACAAGGCGGTCACGATGTTTCGCGAGGCCATGATTGAGGAGGGCCGCGGCCGGGAGTGGGCGGAATCAATCCGTCCCAACGAGTTGTGGTGGGTTTTCTTCGGGTTTTAGGTCGGTTTTTAGAATTGGTTTTCAAGCTGTAGTTTTAGAGAGGGGGAAAAATATACATACGATACAGGGGGGTCACATTTCGTTGTGTGGACGTGTGTGTGCGTAGTTGGTAACTTGCCGGGGGGGTGTTGTTAGGGGTTTCCTTTCCCTCCCCCCCCCCCCCCCGCAAGATCAGCTGCTGTAGGGCTTTAACCCCACCTCACCCGCCGACTCTTCCTCCTCGGTCCTCCTGCTACTACCACTGCTACTACCGCTACTACCGCTACTACCTATGCCGTACATAGTCGTGACGAGGAGTGGTGCGAGGTCGCTGACGTCATCAACCGATACTTACTGGTGAGGTCGGGCCCCCGGGGGGGGGGCTTGAGGGCCTCGGTTGTTGGGTTGCGTGTGTGCCTGCTTATGGCAATACGACAGGCAGTTTGATTAGGAGGCAAGGCTGATTGTCTGTACTTGTCTTAAACCCTGTATGTGGCTCTTTTATTTATATATTTATAACTTCATTTTCTCAGACTTACACATCCATGCCCGGTGCAAGGGCAGAAGGTGGCGGGGTGCACCCGCATCGGCTCGTGTATACTGACATATACCAATAGTCTTGCCTTACAGCCTCTGAGTTTAGTGATCACCGACATATCATCAGGCCATGAGCCAACGGGAAATAGTTACAGCAGTGGTGAAGCAGTGGGACCGCAGACAGTTCGAACCTCCAAGCGTCAAGCGACAGACAGACAGGCGAACAGAGCCGCGAGCTTAATAACAGAGTCGAGTCGCTATACACAGGATATGATAACACAACTCCCTCTACCCCGTACTTCCCTCCCCCCCACCTTACTGCTAGTACTTTTGGGGTACTGCCAGCCGCAGAAGCATATCCTCTCCATAAACCTTCCTCTCCGCATCCCTCCACATCACGCGTCAAAACATACATCCGCTGCAGGGTGATCTGTTCCCTACCGCTTTACCCACCGCTGAACTCAAAAAAGAACCACTGATTGATTTGCCGGTGTGCATGACTCTTGACTGAACTGAACCGTGCTACCGTCCTGTGTATGTCGTACATCGTACCTACACCCCTTACCTGCGGTAGTGCGCCCCCTACGACGAAGCAACGGAGATCGTGGGGGCGCTGGCACAGGTATGTGTGTATGTATGTATGTATAGATGTGTAGATGTATTATGTACCAGAACGCGATTCTTGCACTTCCATTGCATTTCCAGCCCTTTCCCTTCGGAGTTGTTGATGGCTTGGACCTCTGTGTGTGTGTGTGTTTTAGTCCTGTTGATTGGTTTCATCGTGTGATTACCGTTCCCTCCCCCTCACACACATGCACACTTCCACAGAAGCATACATACATACATACATACATACATACATACATACATACATACATACATACATACATACATACATACATACATACATACATACATACATACATACATACATACATACATACATACATACATACATACATACATACATACATACATACATACATACATACATACATATATACATACATACATACATACATATATATACATACCCCTTCCGCCCGCAGGCCTCAGCACTGGACGGCTCCCTCCCAGCCCTCCTGGAGCAGCTACTGGCCCTCTGCGCCATCCGCCGTGTTGCAGACCCCACATCCACATCGCGGCGAGACACCAACCCCCGCCTCCACTCCGTCGCGTCGCCGCCGCCCCCGCCGCCGCTGTCATCGTCCGCGGGCGGTCTTGGCGGCGGCCTGGATGCCAGCCCCGCCGCCGCCCTCGGTGGCGGCAGCAGCGGTCCTGTGGCTGAGAATCCGCCCTCCCAGACATCGCCGCCGCCACCAGGCCCCCAGCAGCAGCAACAGCAGCAGCAGCGGCCCAACCTCGGCGCATCGGCGGCCGGTGGTACGGCATTTGGTACGGCTGCCGCCGCTGCCGCGCTGACTGCAGCTCTTCAGGCGTCTGCTTCTCCTGGGCAACAGGAACCCCCGTCGGGGCAGCAGCAGCATCACCCTCTTCCGTACCCGTACTCGAGTTACTATCATTCCCAGTTATATTCGCATTCCAGCCAGCAACAGCAACAACAACAACAACAACAGCAGCAGCAACACGGGCTGAGTGCGGGGCTACAGCGTGGGCCGGACTTGCAGCCGGTACTAACAGGCGGTGGCAGCGGCAGCGGCGGCGGCAGTGGCGGCGGCGGTGGCGGCGGCGGCGGCGGTGGCGGAGGAGCCGGGGCCGCAGTAGAAGGGATGGCACATGCTTCTGCTTTGCCTTGTAAGCGACCATCTAGCTCGGGATGGAGGGTATTACACAGGGCGTATGTTTCGGCACGTGTCGCAATGTGGGTGTTTGGGGTCCCCTTATCCCCCCCCCGGCCCCCTAGGAGCCACCACCCCAATCCCCCCGCCCGGGCGAACCCCCAGCTGCCTGCTGTCTGACCGCCTGGCCGGTCTGAACCTTTTCTTCTATACATATACCCACGGGTCGGGTCGGGTCGGGTCCCATTTTTCCGTACCTTCCTCTTTGAGCTACAGCAATCCTCAGGCTTATCTCCTTCGCACGCCTAACCCTCCTAAGGAATTCCCTTTCGACTGATTAAACTGCCCTCCGCCGTTGCCTTCTTTGTGGGTGAGGGCCTGTCATCGCACACGCACCTGGTAGCTGGTAGCTGGTACCACTTCACTTCATTTAAAACACCTGCATGCCGCCTTCGCAACCTCCTTCACCTTGTCCACCCCCTCTCCCTCCCCCACCACCATCTCGGTGCTTTCGCTCCCCACCCCAGCTCGCATTATCGCCGGGCCGCAAGCCGCCGCCGCTGCGAATGCATCCCCACTCTCCGCCGTAGTCCCCGCTTCCGGCGGCAGCGGCGGCAACGGCAGTGTCGTACATTGCCCCGGCTGCCAGCGCTGCATCTGCCCGAGCTGTGGTCAAGGTATGGACGCGGCGCCGCCGGGGCCCCTAGCGGCGGCGGCGGCGGCGGCGCAGCCGCTAGCAGCGGCAACAACCGGTGGCGGTGCCGCTATCTTCACACCCGCCGCCGGCAGGCCCGCCGGCTTGGCGCCTGGCATGCTCGCTTGGGTGAACCGGCAGGCGACGTTGCGTCGAGTGAGCATCGGTCTCCGAGCGGACCAAGCCTGGGCGACGGAGCGTCGCTCTCTGGATCGGCGGTTGGCGACGACCTCAGTGATGTCAGTGTACGAATAAATAATAGCACTGCTTCGGTTCGTCTGTACTGCTGTACAACTCCATTCTCACCACCTCATTCGCTGGCAACTGGGAGAGCAGATCGCGGTCGAGGGATTGGGGTGTATGGGGGGGCGTTTTCGCGATGTATTGGTATGGGGTTGGTTTGTAGTGGTGGTGGTGGTGGTGGTGGTGGAAGCGGAGGTCTTGTGAGCGTTATGTGAGCGTTATGTATGCGTGTATATATGTCTGTCAGGGTGCGTGTGCGTGTATGTCTCTTGCGTAGGGATGGTGAGTTTGCGTTTGCGTTATGAAGGCGAGTTGGTTAGGTGGTTAGGCACGGTAAGCGTGTGCGTAAACTTGAGATGAGGATGTCCAATTGTATCTCTTTTCCCCTTTCAAATCGGTGATCGGGTTTTCTCGTCCAAACGAAAGCGCGAGATTTTGCACGTGCATCCGTACACACCTGAGGTGTACTGGGGTTCTGCGTATCCGTACGGCATGTAGCGTGAGTGCGTGTGTGTATGTATGTATGTATACGGCATGTACCTGACCCCCCCATCGGGTGGTTCTCCCCTTTCTGTCATTATTATCTGTTTTTGGCCCGGGGTGGCGGTGGGGTGCCCGGAAGCCCCTCACGATGATGTGATTTGGAAGCTCTTAATCGTGTATGTGGACGTAAGGCCCACGGGGCCGGAATAAAGGGAAGGTTAGGATCGGGCATCAGGTCGTGGATTGCAGAATGAACAACAAGGAGTGTTGTGTTGCTGCATTTTGTGTGTGTTTTCCGCCCGCTCCCCCCCCCCCCAGGTCCCCCCTTACCTCTTGCGCTGCCATCTCAGCAGCTGTTAGGTTAATAGGGATAGGGAAGAGCGCTTTATTTTCTATCTATGTCAGTGTCTCTCTACGTCAACTTGTCTTGCCGGTATTGTCGTACTTGTCGCCTCTTTAGCTGTCGTATTCCGCATCTCTAATTCCCCCCGTAGACCCGGGGGCGGCCTCACGCGCGATTCGGGGGCCGTGCTCTCCCACAATCTTGAAGTGCGTATGTATGTGTGTATGTATGTACGTATGCGTGTACTTATGTATGTATGTATGTCAGTTTCCTAAGTACGTCTATGCGCATACCGTTGCGCCGCAGTCGGTGGGTGCAGGTGGGTTTGTGAAGAAGCCGCTGCCTGCTGGTTGAGTGAGAGGTGTGTGGTGTGGTGAGTCTAGTGCCGCGTGGGTGTGTTTACGTGTGCGCTAGCAAGCTCGGTTGTTGTCACTGCCGGTCGGATTGAAACGGGCTTGGAGGGCGCAGAGCGGACAGCGATGCCAGACACACACACACACACACACACACACTCTCTCTCTCTCTTGCAGAGGGGTTAGGAAATGTTAAACGATTGTGTTATGTTGGAGGGGAGGGGATGTTGGAGGGGGGCGGAGGATTAGGTCAGAGTGGGTCGACGTGTGGGACCCGAGTATGGAGGTGCCAGTCGGCTAGGTGAGAACGAGCTGGCGAGCTTGCAGTGCGTGACAGCGGCACTAGTGCACCCTGCGGGTGGCGCTCTGCAAGGAAGGGCTTTTCGTTGAGTGGTAGACACATCAGCGTGTTTAACTGGGTTAAAAAAGGGTTTTCCAAACTTGAGATTGCGGGGCTTTTTGGCAATCGTGCATGTATTAACATGCTAGTGCATACACGCGCCCATTAGCATCCCTCAAAGATTATGTATGCATGCACACGCGCGGTCGTTTTGTTTTGTTTGGCCAAAAGGTTATTATGTCGTTCATCCTTCTTATGTATGTTTTATCTTATGTACGTATATACGGCAGTACAGCGCAGCGCTACGGCGGTACGTCGGAGTACGGCGCCCTGTATGGACATACATCGCGCAAGTCGCATGACCCGCGGGTATAACAGCTGCAGGTGAGGAGGGAGAAACTTCAGAAATGGCCCCAAGGAAATGCATTGGTGCTGCTGCTTTCGTGTGCTGAGTGCGGTGGTTCTAATGGGGTTGGGAATATCCCCAGAGGATGCTTCAGTCGAACATTGCGAGAGGGTGGCTGGGTATGGGTTGGCATGCTGACTATGGATAACACTGTGAAGTGATGTGTGTCTGTGTGTGTGTGTGTGTGTGTGTGTGTGTGTGTGCGCGTGTGTGATGCAGTGGGGATGGAAGCTCAGTGAAAGTAATGGGGAAAGAAAGCGCCCAAAACCGTCGTGCCTTCATGGAATCGATGGACGTGAGGCTCACTAACGTTTTGCGGCGATGAGATGGAAATAACTGGCCTTGAGCATATAGAGTCGAGAAAAAGCGCGGCTCTAAGAAGGTAGAGCTGAGGTTAAAGTGTTCAGTACGGTACGCGGTACACTTCTCGTGCTAGAATTATTCTTGCTGAGTCCAGGACAAGTTTCGGGCTTGTAACTCATATGAAATATCCTTAGGCTGGCACTGCATTGGAAGGGCTCTGCAGACTGGGTCGGTCAGGCAGGGGTTTCTGTTACACATTCGTTGGTCAACAAACATGCTACTTTTCACTATAAATCGGCAGGTTTAAAGATCTAGTTGGGAAGGCGTGCTAATCCAAAATGTAGGGACGGCGCCAGGTGAGGAAAAAGCCGAATTCGGACGTTTGAATAACCCTTATTATGGTAACATATGTGAGCGCATGATAATAAAAGCTATTACTTGCTGAGACAGCGAGACGCATACAACTCAGCCAGCACATAACATTTTCCTACACCTGTGGGTTACCCTGTCGAATGTGTATGCTGGCAGGACACCAATTATAATATTACCATGGAAACCCCTTAAAAGCTGAGGAGCTCATCATGCAATTTGCGGTCAGCCGTACGTATTTGTCACCAGTCCCTACTCTTTGGCGTCAAAGCACAACTGAGGCGTACAAACAGCTGTCATCGCTTTCATGGCTCCTTACGACCGGACAATATACTTGCGAAAGATATTTTGTACAGCTGAGTAGATAAGCTGCCTTGCACATAACATTATGAGCTGTTATCCATAAATAACGTTGTCAGTATGGGCAACTCGTGGACTTCTTGGCTGTGGCAAGTATTTTATCCCTGAAGCGGAAATCGTTACGTCAGGAAGGGCGCTTTTGCAATCAGTTAAAATTTTATTTCATTGGATGTCTCTAGGTAAGCACCCACGACTTGCGGGATTGCCGGGATGTTAGGTAAACTACTCGCCATCGCCGTTCTACTCACGACTTCGCTACCGCGGTGCAACAATGCTCCTGCCCTGTGCACCTCAGCAGCTTCACTAGGCAAAGGGTTCCGCATGCCTTAAGCTGCCGTATTGCTATGCCGCGTCGACTCGCTCTAGTAATGTCGCCTGCGATGTCGCCTTGCAGTGCCCGAGGCCGCGAGGGCCAGCGGACTCCTGCTGACAGATGTGACCGGGCGGCGCGCGTAGGCTCCTGTACCTGTGCACGACGGTGACAACCGACGACGACACCGCCGGTAGGCTCCTCCATCTATCTCCCTCTTCTCGCTCGTCGCCGCGACCTAGTTATCACAGACTGCCCAACCGGTCCCATCGCATCCAACAGGCCACATGTCCCTAACGGGTCGATCGGAGGGACCACAAACGGGCGAACCACCCCACAGCGGAACGTTGGACGCGCTCAGCAGCGAGGCCACCAGCGGCGGGGAGCCCTCCGAGGAAGGTTTAAAACGCGCCAATCTTAGCAGCAGCTGCGGCTGTAGCAACAGTCAAGTTTGCCAATGCTGTTGCTGTTGCAGCTGTGGCGGTGACGCAACCCATATGATCGACGGCGGCGCTGGTGGCGGTGAGGGATGCATCGGCAGCAGCGGCGGCGGCGCTGGTAGCCCATGCTGCACCTGCGGCCGCCGGCACCGCGCGCGGCGTAACGGCATCTTGTCCATCCGCCGCCGCCGTAACGGCTTTCTCTCCATTCGGCGTCGACGCAACGGCGTGCTGGCGGTGGAGGAGGACGGCGGGGACGGCTCCTGGGACGGCGCCGCAAAGCGGCCGGCGTCTGGTCTAGCATGCCGAACTCAAGGACCGTTTGACGTGCCCGACGGCACAAGGTGTTGCTACTGCGCTGGCTGCTGCCGCGGCGGCGTCTTGAGTGACGGCGGTGAGGCCGAGGACGGCGGCGCCGCAGCTGACGGTGGTTCGCCGTGTTCTGCGACCCGCGGGCTGCTGTTATCCGGCGGCGGCGGGGGAATCAGGACGGATCGCCTGGTTGGTGCCGTCCCGACGGTGGGTGGGAGGCAGCCGCTGGGTGATAGCGGAGGAGGCGGAAAAGGCGGCACCCGCAGCAGTAGCAGTAGCAGCCCCCCGGCGGGGCAGCCACCACCACAACCATCTCCTCCGCTTCCGCTGCCGTCGCAGCTGCCGTCGCCGCAACAGAAGCCAACCGCACGGGAGTCCAGGCAGAGCGATGAAGCGGCGGCCGCCAGGGTACCGCGCCGCGGCACCGTCCCGATTATGCTGCCTGGCCCCCCGCCGCCGTCACCGGCCCTACAACAACAACAACAACAACAACAACAACAACAACAACAACAACAACAACAAGACCAACATCAACAACGACAACAGCTGCAGACGGTTGGAAGCCATTCAAAACCGTACCCAAATCCAGATCTAAATTCAAACCCAAATCTGATTTTAGTTTCAAACCCGAACGCGTGCATTGTCCAGCAACGACTGGAGGAAGGACCCCCGGGGCGGAAGGGCGCTCTAGGCCCGACGTCGCCGCCACAGCAGCTACAGCAGCGGCAGCAGCAGCAAGAGGAGCATGAGTTGCTTCAGGAGGGTTTGAGCTCTTGTCCCGTCGCAGATGCTACAGCCGGGGAGGTGGGCGAGTACGGCGGCGCCGCCACAAGCGCCGTTGTCGAGATAGGGTCACGTGGCGACATTGGCGTGTACGACATCTACAGCTACCCGCGGTCCTGCCTAAGCTCACCTGTCGTACGGCCGCATCCCCCCGTTTTTGGATCGTCAGTTAGTGGAAGAGTGTTGGCGCAACCGCAGCTTGGAAAGAGCACATTTCCAGGCGCGGCGCAACAACTCAGCGTTCCCGGAAGCACGCAACCTGGCGGCGCTGTATCGACGCCATCCCTGTACCGGTACGACATGGGATCGCGATGCAGCTCCCAGGGCGGGAGCGATGCGGCCTTGGGAGTCGTCGTCACGATTGCTGGCGGCGGCGGCGGCGGCGGAGGAGGAGCGGAAACGGCGCCGCCACCGTCGCCGCCACCGCCACGGCCGCCGCAGCACCACAGTCACCTGGAGTCAGGACCGGTCGTACGACATGCTCCCGGCGCCGCCGCGACCGCTGTGATCTGCAACCCCCGCGGAAGCGGCGGCGGCAGCAGCAGTAGCAGCAGCAGCTGTAGCACGGCCACGGCCACCATGATGATCGGCACCCCGAACAGCAGTAGCAGCCACGTCGGTGGTGTGTTGGGGGCCCACCCTGCCGGCGGCAACCAAGTGGGGTCATCTGGAAAGCCCCATCGTCCCAGATCCCCGCAGTTAGCGACAGCAAGTGCAGGTACGGCGACAGCCGGTACAGCGGCGTCAACAGCTACAGCGGCGGCGCCAGTATTCAAGGCGATAAGCCCCGGTGCCGCGAACGGCGCTGGGTTACTGAGGTTGTGTACCAATCCAGAGCAGGCAGCACCCAATCGGGCGGCACCCGCGGCAGGAGCGCCCGCAGGCATCACCGCGGCTGCCTCATCGCCGTACATTTCGAGCCAATCGTCGTACACGCCCGGCTACCACCGTAAGCTCATGCCATCAGCCAGCCAGTGCGAGCACCTCAGACAGCCCGAGTCCATTACGGCATATCCCGCCGCTGCCGCCGCCGCGAGCAACGGCAGCGGCGGTGCTACGGTGGGGGCGTCGTCCGTCGCGACGCCCAGTATCGCGTCTACGACTGCTGGCGCCGGCGCCACCGCCGCCGCCGCCGCCGCCGCCGCCACTGCGACCGTATTGGTGGCCGCGCCGTGCAAAGTGTCGCATAGGCCGCTGCCGCGGCGCGCACGCAGCCTCGCAACGCTGGCGGCGCCGCCGCACGTGCACCCCGCACGGCAGCCGCTGCCGGGGCCTGCACACGTTGGGTTGGCGGCCCACGTGTCGCTGCTGCCGCTGCTGCACTCGCCCTGCCAGAGCACTACAGCGGACTGGGCGGGTGGAGCGATGCGTGCACGCGGACCTGGCAGCAGCCCCAAAGACAGGCCGCGTCGCAGCGTCAGCACATTGACCGCCGTCGGTTACCAAATATCCCTGGAGCCGCCGCCGCTGGGTGCTGCTGCTGCCGCCGCCGCTGCTGCTGCCAGCTCTGCCGGCCGTCCCCAGGGCGCTCTGCAACTCGTAGGCGTCTTCGGCGTGGCGGTGGGAGCCCCGCCAGGCGGGAGCGGGTGGATGGGGGCCAGCAGCAGCACCACCAGCGGCCCGCCGCCGCCGCCGCGGCCGCGCCGGCCTTCCTTGTGGTCCTCCGCCACGTCGTCGGCTGTGCCAGAAGTTGAGGTGGAGGACGGTGTGGGCGGCGGCGATGACGTGAATCATGATGCTAGTGTTGGGAAAGCGGATGTTGCGGAGGAGCTGGGGAGCCGCCTGCACCCGCAGTTGTACGGGTTCGCTGACCGTGGCGCTCGGAGCGCCGCCAGCCCCAGCAACCTCGGCGGTAATGGCGGTGGTGGTGGCGGTGGTGTTGGTGGTGATAGCGGCGGTAGTGAGATCCCGGTGCCTGATTGGAGCGGTACGGCTTGCGGCGGCGGGGGCGCCATTGAAGCGATGCACCTCTCCCCGGGTGCTGATCGGCAGCAGCAGCAACCGCGACAGCAGCCGTCGCCGTCGCCGCCGACGCAGCAACAGCTGCAGCAGCAGCAGTACCTTGCGGCTGTAACCGCTACAACCTTGGCCCCTCCACTGTCGTACAGGTCCAGCGGGGTCCCCCGGGCGCTCTCGGGTCCCGAACCGGTTAACGGGTACGGCATCCGAGGCCCCGCTTTTGGCAGCTTAATGGCGGCAGGCCCTGCCGCTGCCGCTGCCGCTGCTTCTTCTGTCGGCGGTGGTGCTGTCGGCGGCGGTATGCACAGCACGCTCCCGCTCGCGACGACGCCTTCGACGCCGCCGTCGTCACAGCAGCACCAGCACCAGCAGCACCCCCGGATGTCAGTAGCGGCGCCGTCGCCGCTGTCGCCGCGAGGCAACAGTACGGTCACGCAGGGCGCTAGGCTGAGCCGCTGGGTACAGCCGCTACGCCAGCTTATGCGATCCTCAGCTGGCAGCGGACAATCCGCCAAAGCGCCGTCGCCGCCGTCGTCGCCGTCAACGTCTGACATCTCACGGCAGCTAGACGGCAGGGCTGATAGTGGTAGCGCTGGCAGCGGCGGCGGCGTAGCGTCGTCGCCGCCGCCGCCGCCGCCACCGCCGCTATCACCTTCAGGGCCTGTTAACGAGCGCACGTTGAAGCACCGTCGGCCGTGGACCAGCGCAACGCCACCGCCGTTGGCATCAGCGTCGGCATCGGCGGCGGCAGCAGCGTCCGGCGGCGCAGCAGCGTCGCCGCGTCGGGAGCTGCAACAGCCGACTTCCATCAGCCTGCCCCCCATCTGGAACAGCAGTAGCAGTAGCAACCCGTCGTCACCACAAGTCACGGGGCCGCGATAGTAGCTCGGTAGCTTTGTACGGCAGGTGTGCACGGCGGGAGTCAACCTCTCTGAAGTTGGTTGGTTGTGGAGGGAGGGGAGGGAAAAAGCGTCTACGTGTGGTGACCTGGCTCGGTCCCTCTGGGCAGGCAGTGCGGATTCGAATGCGAGGGCGGTGCGAGAGAGAAATGCACGGCGGGAGAATGGAGCGGCTCTATTGAAAAAATTTGAAAAAAACCCTACGTATTAGAAGTACGGAAGCACGGGATGGTGTTTGGAGTTTTGTGGGTGTATGGCTGGGCGGTCCTGACGGCGGCGGTGGCGGCGGCGGCGGCGGGGGGGAGGGGGGGCCGGCGGCGGCGGCGGGGGGATTCGGGACTTGGACCTGGAAAGGGAGGGCGCCGCCGCGCTGGGAAGATCCTCTATGAGGTTGCTCATGAGGTCAGTCAGGATATCACGTGAGGATATCACGTCACATACACACATACAGACCTATTTGCGACACCGCATCGATGTTAGCGCGCAGTTTGCCTCGTGCATGCTTGCCTTCCTTGCGTCCTTCCTTCCTTCCTTCCTTCCACGGGTGGTGGCCGTCCTCGCGCCCGTCGTTGCGCGTTTGCCTGTTTCAGGTTTGTTGTTACGGTTGTGGTTGCAATTGCGGTTATGGTCGTTGTTAGTTGCCGCGCCAATGCCGTTACTGATGACCTTTGCTGGAGCCGCTTTTCGTTGCGTATGTGTGTGTTTGCGTGTGTGAGAGAGGACGTGGAGAGGACAATTTGGCGAAGTTCTTTTGGTGGTAATGGTGGTGGTCATGATAATGGCGGCGGTGGTGCTGCTGCTGAGTGTGTGTGTGTGTGTGGGGGGGAAGGTGGCTTCTAGGGGGTTTGACACGGGGTGTTCGTGCGGCGGGTGCCGTACCGGCGCTTGTGACGGCAGAGCCCCTGCAGCGGTGGGAGCAGGAGTAGCAGCCGCAGCTGGAGCGGCTCGGGGAGCCCCCTTCCCCCTCCCCGTCGTGTGTGGTTCGTCTTTCCCCCCTCCCCTTCCCCCCTCCCCCCTTCCCCCGGGTGAACGCGGCGGTCTATGCTGTGGCGACGCATGACATGGCTTACACATGCACTCGCTACGCAATGCCGGGCCAACCCCAGTTGCCGTTCCGCTCCATCGAACGGAGTCTGTCCTGTCCTGGTCTGGGCAGTACAGGGCAGTACAGGGCAGGGCTGCGGCCTCGGGCGTTAGGCGACGAGCAGATGATGGGCGGGCGGGCGGGCGGGCAGGGGTGGGCACTGAAGATTATCATTCTCAACAGTCGTTATTATTGTTGGTTAGCTTCAGATGCGATGTTGAAAACCCTGAGTTGAATAGAGGATCCTGACGTACGTGTCAATGTAGATGTAGACAGGACAGATGCAGCACACGGCCATTGGCGCATGTTTGGAACACAAAGACGTCGACGTCGACGACACCTGGAGCCCCCGTGCACGTGACCTGGTGAGGTGGCCCCCGACATGTATCTCCTCGCATGGAAAGAGCTGTCACGGTAGTGGGTAGCGAGCTTCACTTTCCATTCCTCGTGCGTGTGTATGTATGTATGTATGTGTGTATGTGTGTAAGGGAAGGGAGAGGTCTTCAGGTGTGGTGGGAGCTGCGCTCTGGGGTAGAGTCGTTCGTCTGCTGCTGGCCCCCGGCAATGTACGTCTGTATGTACGTCTGTATGTGTGTCTCCGCGTATATACACATATTTGAGAGCAAGCAGCGGCAAATGGCGGTGGCTTCGGCGGCGGCGGCGGCATCTGGACATGGTGGCAAATCATTTCCCGCCTGGAAGACAAAACAGCAATACACGAAGACCCGCTTTGGGGTTATGCACGCGTGAGGGGGAACGGAAGGGGGAAGCTCTCGATGGCGATGGTGGGTCATTTTGCTGATTTGATCGAAAGATATGCCTCTCGGGAGGACGGAGTCTAAAAGGGTGGTGAGGCCGGGGGGCGCACCACATGTTCTAATTCCACAATCACATTCCTTAATTGCATTGCTGACTAACCGTAAAGAGCCAGTGTGTATGTGTGTGCATATGTATGTGTACGTGCTTGCTCCGTGTACATTCTGTGTACCACAACCTGCACGAGAAGAAAAAATAGAGAAAACACCAACGACGCGGGAGGAAAAAGATCAAGCAGGGCTTGGAGCATGCGCACCAGCCCACCGAGAGCGGGGATGTCGGGATGCGCTCACTGTTTGTATGGTCTGTGTGTGTGTGTGTGCGTGTGTGTGTGGAGTATCTGACACTGGCCAGGGGCTGCTGCCCAGCCCCAACGGAAAGACCGCCTAAGCTCTCTCCCTAAGCGGACGGGAGAGGGGCGTGAGCGGCCTCTGCCCCCTCCTAAGCAGAGAGAGAGTGTGTGAGAGAGTGAGAGAGAGTGTGTGTGTGTGTGTGTGTGTGTGTCGTAACGGTGGTGATACTGGAGGCTGATAGACGCCTCGTGGCGGCATTTTTATCTCGCAGTGCGCAACTCGTCAACGCGTCCCTGGGGGTCCACACTTCAACACACACACATACACACATACACCGCATGAGCCGCTTCCTGTCCCCGGCTCGGATCTCATAAATTTCAAGGCACAAAAAAGGGGGAGGGGTTTAGCCGCACACGGTGTGTGTGTGTGTATCATCCGGGTGTTCGATTTTATTTCGACCAGATGGTGGTCTGGATGGATTGCCCGCCGTGCGACCCACCACATGGGTCACATCCGACGGACATACGACCCGTGGGTCATATCGACTGCCTGCGGGTTACGACACCACCACCGGTTTTCAGCGCCAATTGACTGGCCAGTAATATGCTTCTTGTGTGCAGGTCTCGGTGGCGAAGGCTGCCATTGCGCTTTTGCCTGTCTGCCTGCCCGCATGCCTGCCTGTCTGAGCTAACGTGCGACTCTTGTCTGTCTGTCTGTCGGTCGGTCGGTCGGTCGGTCAACCCGTCTGTATCTGTGTGCCATTGCACGCGCACTCGCGCTCTCGCCTGAAAAGGAGAAACGCGGCGATGTGGGTCAGAGGTCTCTCATCCCATCGCGCGTCGCACCACCTAGCTGCATGTCGCCACGGCGGGTAGGCGAGCCGAGCCGTGATCGCAAAACCGAGGAGCGGGGGGTCAATGCCAACTGGACAACTTGCCGCTACGCATCGCCCTGTGACGTCATTCAGCATTATCGCGGCTGCGTCTGCTGCTGCTATTGCCGCCTCTGCATTTGCTGTTGTGGTTGCTACTACTGCTGCAGTGGCTGCTGCTTCGTTTAGTAATTTTGTGCTCTGCTGACCTCTGCGAGACGCACCTCAGCGGGTTCTCACCACCTTGCATGAAGGGGGAACTGCATTCAGTGCTCCCGTCCCGCATGCATGTGCATGTGCACGTGTGTGCCTGTATGTATGTACGTGTATATGTGTGTGTGCGAGAGTTCCAGGAAGGGTGTTGCCCATGAACGACATTTTCCCCTTGTGAGAATTCGTGTATGTACATGTACATGTCAAACAAAGGGATGTTGTTTGCGTGTATGTTGGAAGGAAAGCGTTCGGAAGGAGCAAGGTGCCGGGGGCGTTGGTCGGTTGAGTCTCGTTCAGGAGATTTGGGGGAGGGAGCGAGGGCGAGGTTGCGAAAAGGACATGCACGGGAGCCTCGGTGAAATACAGACGAGTGCGTGAAGTGATCATTTTGAGTGTTACTGATGGTTCTCATGGGGGGTGGGGGAACCGAGCGCGGTGAGACGCATCATTTTGCGCGCGATCCTGCGTGGTGTGGGCTTTTTACGGAGCGCGGTGGTTGTTGAAAATAATGTTAACGTGTGCAACAGGGCTTTAAGTTACAAGTTACAAGTTACAAGTTACAAGTTCCGCACACAAGTGCGGGTGTGTCCGTAAAAGCCGGGAGGGCCATGGACGTGAAAATTTGGAACCATTTCTCGATTTGTGCGTGGTATTTAAGCAGGTGGGAGTATTAATGTTGTAAGGAGGAGGGGGGCTTGAAAGTTAGCGATGCCAATGCATCGTGAAAGAAAGGACAGGATAATATTTTTATGGATGTGCATGCAAGTGATGTTGGCCTGATGTGCAAGATGCGCATGAATTCCCTTAGCCTGTGTTGACGTGTGCCATTTTAGTTCATATGATGTGCGCCTTATGAGTAATGGTTTTGGCTTGTGGGGAATCTGTTGTCGTTCCGTCCGATTCCCTGGCGTATGCAACATAGCCATTGCAACAAGAAAATGGAAAATGCGACGGTGGAGAAAATCGCCACGTGGCTGCGGCCCGCGGGGGAAGGTAATTCTGCTGCTTGGCATATACTTCTGGTGTCGCCTAGTTTAATGCTGTGCTTCGCAGTTTGCCGCAATCACAGGTTCCCTTGGGTGTTGGTTGGTGGGTTGTCGTTGGGTTGCAGTTGATCGTGCAACCAATCCGGCCACTCTTGTAAAAAAATATATTCGGCACCGGCTTTGCGGAATGCACGGGCATATTCTTGGAACAGCGCATGCGGGAGCTGCCTCAGCCAGCCAGCGAATTGGCCAGGAGCTGCCATGAGGGTCGCAGATGCACCAGATCTGACCCAGGATAGAGTTGCATCCACAGGTGTGCGCATGTGCTTTGGATGAAATTGTCGGCAGAGCTAAGCCGATGGGTTTCTGGGTTTCATCGATCAGACACCCCCAACCCCCAGCAGGACACGTGGACTGGGCGACATGCAAATGGGGACGGTGATGGTCGACGGCAGCAGTGATGCAAAAGCCGCTGAAGCGCTGGATGCAGCTGTGGACGGCCATGGCGATGTTGAGGACAACGGCATGGGACAAGTTGCGGGTGGCCACAACCCCGTGAACAGCGTTGGGTGCTACTGAACTTCAGGAGTAGCTGATTGCATTTGCTTTCCGTTGGAGTGTCCATCCTGATCGTCAGCATCTATCTGGTTCGCATTTCAGCTATATATCTCCGAGCGAGAGCTCTTGGCATCCTGGCTCTGCTTGGTTGGTATCCTGGTCGGTTTGATTTCCCGCCCAGTAGTGTTACATACACGATGCCATGTGTTCTGGTGAGGTGCCGCGCTTCACATGTGTGCACACCGGGATAAACAAGGACGACGTGCATCGGAGCAAATGGGCATATGTAGGAAAAATTCGTTGTTTGTCATCATATGTTCCTAGGGCTGAATTTAACATAACGTTTGGAGGGGAGTGCAAGCGTACAGGAATTCAACCCATTTGTGCGCCATGGGTAGCCAGGTTCGCTACTTTGATCGGAGTCGATGAGGTTGCGCGATGCGCGAGGTGTCACCTTGCAAGCGCGACTGCAGCAATGGCCGTTGTATGTGGGCACTAGGTTTCCTCCAGCGGTACAACGGACTTTGCCTAATTCAATAGCAAACCTGCCGGGACACCCGGCTGAGACATGAAAGCGGACCAACCACGTTCTTCCCCAGCGCGCATCTCGCAATTCCAACACAACATCCTTTATATATTTTACACCAGTAACTTGCTAGGGTTGATGAACGAGAAGAAACTCGACCCCAACAAAGTCGCGTTTGTCATACCACCGGTCTCGCCAACCTTTAAGCCCTAAAGAGCTCAATAATTTCAACTTGTATTCTTGTTATTATGGGGACAAATATTATGGAAGGCCAATTGCCACCCAGCTTGGACGACGAAGGCATTTGCAACCTTTTCGGTTTCACGTTGCCAGGCTGGAATGCCGCACGTCGACGTCGCTATCGCACATGCAAAAACTAAGCAGATATTTGTCCCCATGATAGCAACAATACAAGTTGAAATTATTGAGCTCCTTGGGGCTTGAAGGAAGGCGAGACCGGTGACATGACAAACGCGACTTTGTTGGGGTCGAGTTTCTTCTCGTTCGTCAAACCTAGGACGTTACTGCTGTAAAAGACATAAAGTATTCTTTGTTAGAATCGTGCGATGCGCGCTAGGGACGAAGGCCGTTGTTCCGCTGAAGGGAGGCTTCATGACTCCGCGCGCCTGTGCTGTATGTCTGTATCTTCCTACCTATATCTTCCTGCATGTAACAGCTCGAAGTCATGCTTCTATGTCATCTCTGTATTTTGTAGTCCCGGACCGCTATACGGCGGTGGTAAAACATTGACGAGCAGCGGTGGTAAAACATTGACGAGCAGCAGACGGTGCTGGTGCAAATGACATTAATGAAGTACACGTATTAAAGACCTCATATTTATCAAGTTACTTTATCATCAAAATGTCCCTGGGTGACTGCTATCTGTGTTCGACTTGTTTTTCCTCGTTCATGTCATTAAGTATAACAAGTTGAATGACCCGACATATTCGTCGCATTGTTTATGATTTCATCAAGATTGTGCGCAGCAACGTCGTTCCGAATAGAGTGCCCCGTCCAGCTGCCGGATTCTACGCAGCATGGAAAGCGCTTCATATATGCCTAGCTCTGTTGCTTATACAATGGGGACACAATGGCTTCAGCGCCTGCAAAGGCAGCGCGATGGCCCATTTCGTATCCGGGGCAGGCTCTTCGAGGCTGGGACAACACTGGCACGGCCGGCTGCTTGTCAGCAGCTCTGGAGTGGCAAATGTGTCAGATGGCTCCCTCTTTGTGGCCGCCTTGCGGGATCCAGCTGTCAAACGAATCGTTCTCACATCTCCACTGGTCGATGTCCCGCCTGATACCTGGGAGGCGGTCGGCGGCAACCTGCCCATCCCCATTACCCGCAACTTGACGTTGGAAGGAGACGAGGCGGACTGGCCGCTCCTGCGCCTCCATTACGTGAGGGACGTGGTAAGCAGTGGCGGGCGAGCTGTGCATACTTACTTAGGTACACTATTGTGTTATTTCATACACAGACATACGATGGTGTGTTATTAGTGCAAGGGTGGTGCATGCATACTAGGTATCCCCGTGCTACCTACTTCCTCAAGGGTCACTAGTGGTTCGATGGTGGTAGGTAAATTGCCCCTAGTCGATGAACAGTGGTAATATGGGATGAAGTAGACCTGCGAGCTGAGACCAGGAATGGAGTCGAGCCGCCGTCGCTCAACTAGATTCCGTTGGATGTCGTTGGTGGGTGCGGAACCTGAACGATCCACTGAGAAGTTGACTAGGGTGACTGGATGAGGGTGCCCCGAAATACCGGGGAAGGCAGGGTTTCGCCGGGTAGCGGCCACGGGAGAGAATATGCCCCCCCAGTCCCACACACTATAAAGAGGACAATGTGCACCATACACACCATGTATCAAGTTGCCAGCAGGTATTTATGGCGCCCAAAAAGGATGTCAAGCCGGTGTCACCATCTATGGTTTGAACTTTCTGTGCAATATATGCACACGTATGCTGTTGCTAGCCTGAAGATGTCCCACATTGCTACCGCACTTACATGTACATCTCATCCGCCACTCTTGTGTTCCTTGTCATGTGTCATCAGGTTCGGCTCATGGACACGGTCATCTGGGTTATCCGCTTCCTATTCCTGGACGGCGCAAACGGAGATAACAACTATCGTGATCAGGGCAAGTTAGCTGGCGTTACTCGCTTGGTGGTGTACACATGCATGCATGCATGCAGCCTGTAAAGCCACAGTGGAATCGCAGCTATTACACTGCTGTTCATGTTGTTCGCTTCGGCTACCGTTCCTCCAGGACAGAGGTGCCGTACATGCCACACACTGGTAGTCAGTGCTGGCTGCTGCACCAGGCTTCACTCGCCTTTCCTCCAACTTGCTCCGCGTCTCATAACCGATGCACGAGGATGACTAACCTATCACATCAAGCATTTCGATAGCAGGTTGACAGGGGCTACCTGCTTGCGAGTCGATGAGGCTCACTACTGCCAGCGGGCGACGGCCCCATCAGTTTATAGCATGTACAGCCAGGCATGACAAACTGCTTGACCGATGTTGTGCAGGCTTTTCCTTCCTGGCTGCCACGTTGCCAAACCAAGCATCAGAAATGCAGTTCGGGCCAGCAGCCATGTCAATGAGTAAGTCCAACCAACCGTGCTTACCTTGATGCCCAACATCCAGTACAGCCACGCATGCATGCATCCACCTCCATGCGCTGATGATTTACACTTCTTTCATCACTGGTAATTGGGGAATGCATGCACGTGTTGACGTGGGCATGAGCTTACCATTTACACTGGTATGCCAGCACTCACTATGCATATGCATACTGGTAATGAGCAAGAGGCCAGAAAGTCTATTCCAGCAGCATGGTGCCTGGAGCATGCACTCATGCATCCATACACGCACGCGGACAATCCCGTTAGCTGTGTTCTGTCGCCATCAGCAGCATCAGCAGATATCATAAGTACAGTGGTCGCGGTAGTACGGTGTGGCCTTCTTCAGCAGGGCGCATGTAATGTAATGTAATGTAATGTTGTTACAGAGTGCGAGGCTTCGGGGCCAATAGGGGGTCCATATGCATGTGTGTGGTGACGGGTTTCACTCACTCCTGCTGCACCCGCGTGTGTCGCCAGGGTTCTGCTTCCCATCCAAATTGAAGCTGCAAACCGTAAAGACAGTCGAGAGGCCGGCGAAATACCCGAATGCCAAACAGCTGGTCCTGCGGGATATCCAGTATCCGGAGGTAGGTGGTAGGTTGACCACTACGCATGACTACCACATCGGCTGCATGCCCGCAACATCGCCTTGTGCTGCGATGAAGGCCTGCGTGGCAGCTTCCTTGACTACAGGTAACAAGTTGTTGTTACGGAGTAGGAGGCTTCTGGGCCCATGGAACACATTTGGAGTGTCATATCTAGGATTGAACTCCGTACAGCACCGTCCACCATTACCACACTGTACTGTACGCCATACGAACTGAGGCGGTTGCTTCTGCCTTCTAGAATCCTCATCATCATGTCACTCGAACATTCGTAGAGACAGAGGGTTCAGCGATCTCACCGCCAGTCCAGCGTGGTGCGAATCTCGGTCCATCAACTGTGACCTCAACTAGCCACATCTCCGCAGTCGTAGCCATAATCTCACGCTGCCGGCAATGTCGGGGGTCTCCCCTGGAGTCACATACCCTGGAGGAGTTTGCCTACGTATGCATTGATCATCTTGCTTGTTAAGCCTTGATCCCTGGCTGCAACAGGTTGGCTGCCGCAACGGGTCCTCCGTCCCGCCGCTACAGCGGTGTTGGCCAGATGGTGCCCTCGCAGTGGAGATGGTGGGCAACGGCAACCGCATTGACCCGTCCTCAGACAAGTCCGTCCCCACCAACACCATAATCCTTCTTCAAAATGTCACCTGCCTGTGTGAGCACCCCGTGAGCATCACATGCCTCAAAGAGCGCCAGGCCGAGCCCCTTGTCTGCTTCCAGGAAACCAAGCGCCAGTTTGAGAATGACACGACGTCTTTCTTAGACGATTACCGACCAGATCCGCAGCTTCGGGCCCTTGATGTTAAGGCCTCTTCACCGCAAGTGAAGCAGACGCAGCGACAGGACAGCGCACCGCCGGCGGCAAGCGGCGTGGATGGAAACCAGGCCCGCAGCCGTGCAGTGGTAGTAGGGGCTGCAGTAGCAGGTGTGGGTGGTTGATGCTGGACAGGGCGGGGTGGGCAAAAAAAGACAGCGGAGTGAAGGTACACGTGCATGTTCTGCACATGCCACATGCCAAAACGGCGGTTTGAAATGTTGTGCAGGGAGCATGTTTCTTGCTCCTATTTTTTAGGTTACATTTCTGATATACCTCCGGAAAAGCCATTTCTTGAGGACAAGGATTAAAGATCGAAAGGTTGCAGATCCGAATCCAAGACGGATCGCAAATTGTTTAGAGAGTGCAGCTTGTATAGCCCAGTAGCAGGGTTCGAGTCCGCCCCGGAACGGTTAATGTCCCTGTGCAACGATTGAATGTGCAGCCCGACAAGTGCGCTTCATGATCATGGCACCGCAGAGGGTGCCTGATGGCGGGTGGGCTGGTTGAGCCCCCACCGCATTCCGTCGGATACGTGCCTACCACCAGATGACATGCACACATACAGACATGAGCTCATGATCACGACCTGTTCATGCACGTAACAAACATGACGCGTATGCAGGCACCGTGGTTACCGTGTCCCTATTCGCGTTGATGGTGGTGGCTGCTGTGCGCGTGAAGCGGCAGAACATCTTCGGTCGCAGCTGCCTCGAGTCGGGAAGGTAAGGGAGATTGACTTGGTGTCACACACACACACACACACACACACAAACATACATACACACACGCACCCAGTCACTCTCATCACCCCCCAATTATTCTTCTCCACTACAGCGCCGCGTGTTTATACGGGTTCTTAATATCGCGCTTCTGTTCGACATCTCCTTGAAAGATTTAAGCAATGTTTACAGTTTTCCACTGAAAAAGGTTATAAGACGTCGTTCGATTACGGAGCTCACTTCGATAAAGTTGTTCGCGTGTGCCCCCAATCGCCGCTTCCCTTATCGCGTCTCAGATCAATAAAACACATGCACACGCACGCTTTTGTGAGAAGCTAGCAACACATAGCCCTATTTGCTTAGTAGCTACGAGTTTGTGATAGGGGATGACTTAAGGGGGAGCCCGCCCTAGATCATTAAATGGCGCCGTAGCAATCATCCCCTTTGTGTGGGGTGGTGTGTTTTGGGTCATGCCTTCCTAGCCGCTCACCCAGTCATAACAAACGCTGCTGGTCACCCACGTAAGCCGGCCGTCGTGCATCATGGCTGGTAGCTTGCAGGTTTCCTTCACGCGACGTCTGCTGCCGCTAGCTCTCAGCTTTTCCCCGTCCGGCCCCCATTGCTGCTGTATGTAACGTATGTGTGTATGTGCGTATCTGCCAACAGTTGCCCAGGCCCAGCCTCTCAGCTGAACATTACTGGTGCTGCATGTGAGAACGGGAGCGGTGGAAGCGGGGCCTCATCTGCGACCCCTCGTAACCAACTTCCGAAGTCAGGCGAGTCCGCCAGTCAGCTAGATGCGACCTGGCTGCTGTCTAGCTGCGCTGCGTGCTGCGGCGTCCTTGCCTGACAGAGTACAGTCTGCGGCGTCCCTGCCTGACAGAGTACATTGCTTAGGTCGTCAAATGATGGAGTACTTCAGTTCTCGGCAGTGATTACCCTACGATGTAACTACTCATAGATGCTGGCTGCTGCCCGTCCGGTCCATCCATCCGCCATCTATAGCCACACGGTTAATATTCCTAATCACTGCTGCACGCAACCGCTCACCCTGGCATGTCCTTCCCTGGTACGGCTGTTCCACTTATCCCCCTACCGCTGCATTACCAGAAGTTGCAGCGGAACCAGGGGAAGTGCAGCCTGGCGAGCAGCAGCAGGTGGTCGGCACCAAGCCGACCTTGGCGATGCCTCTGGACCAGGCTGCTGTGGTCATCACCCCAGACACGCGGCCACAACCCAACCTGGAGCTGCATGTGCGGTTAGTGGACCCCGCTGGTGAGGCTGAGGCTGGCGATGTAATCGGTAGTTATAACAATAACAGTTCCATTGGCGACGACAGCAGCAACAGTCCCACAGCAGGTGCCGTCACGGGTGTCGTAACCCTGCACTCGAAGGAGGCGGAGGTCAGCGGCAGTGGCAGCGGCAGTGCTGGTGGTGTTCCTCCCTGTAGTGGTAGCAGTGTGGTGGAGCTGACTTCGGTGGTACGCGGCAAGGGCACCTTTGGTCGAGTGGTGGAAGGTACTTACCGGGGGCAGCAAGTGGCTGTGAAGCTTCTGGCCAGTGACGGCCCGTGGGGGTGCCCCGTCGAGGCCTTGGCCTCCAGCTTTGCGCAGGAAGTGCAGGTAGGGTGCAAGGGGGTGGGCTGGGGGTAGGTGCGGCTGGGTTTGACTCCCCCCACGCCGCGCATAAAGCGCGCAGGCACGCGCTCGTCAACTACTGCTGTAACTGCATGTCACTCCCAGCAAGTCCGCTCTTGCAGGTAGAGCCAGGTGTGTCCTGCAGTGACGAAGTGGTGCATGCTAGTGGTGCGCTGCTACAGTTCCTGACGGTGACTTCGTAAATCGCCCTTGATCCGTACACTTAGGTGCTGAGCCGCTGTTATCACCCAAATATTGTGCGGCTGCTGGCGGCCTGTGTGGAGTCGCCGCGGCTGTGTTTGGTTCTGGAGCTTATGGAGACTTCTCTGGAGCACCTTATGTACGGAGACCCGACAGCCCCACCAATGCCACTGCCGAAGGCAAGCTAGTACGCCATGTATATGACGTGTACATATGTACGAGATAATGCACCAGAAATGGAGCTGATAGTCGACTTGGCGATATTGGGTGCTGCGTGCAGGGTGGTAGGTGGTGGTAGGTGAAGGGTCATAGCGTTCCTTCACGCGCTCACCCTCCTGCCTGCCTCCCTGTGCATCGTTCGGGTGTTCATACCATGCCATGCCGGCTGCCTCTGGGCGCTTTTGCGCTGCCTGAGGCCCACCCTTACTAAACATGGAAAGGATCATGAGAGATAATGGGAACAAGCGGAACATTGGCCAGGGGCCCTGGCCCAGGGCCTTGTCGTGCATCCGCCCCAACAAGCCTCAGCCTCAGCGACGACCTAACCATTATTCGGTATCTCCACCAAGGACACTGGAAGCTAAAACATTGCTTCTGCCACAACTAACCAACCAAGCAGCACCCTGCACACACGACCCGGGCGCCTAAGTGTGCCCGCATCCATCCGTGCCCCACCCGCTCCTGCTGCTGCTGCTGCTGTTGCTGTTGCTACTGCTGTTACCCCATCAGGTGCTTCATATCGCCATATCCATTGCCAACGCGCTGGCCTATCTGCACCCCACCATCAGTCACCGGGACCTCAAGGTACGGAGTCGTACAATTGCTTGTAACTTGTACTTGCAAGTACAATTGTCGGTGTCGTTCGTGTAGCGGCTAGCTATAGCCAGCTGTCTGCGAAGGACGGACATCTCGCGCATCTAGGTGTATGTGGCTTGGGAAATTAGGAGCTATTCAGCTCAGAGTTACTCGACCCGCTCGGGGGCCTTCACCTTCGCTGGACCCCTCCTTCCTTCCGCTACCTGATACCCCCTCCTCTCGCCCTTGCCCTCGTCCCACTGGCGCCTCTGATGTGCCGCTGGGGTATGGGCGGTGTCGAGTGCATCCTCTCTTGGGGCTGCACGTGGCTCATTTCTGCCCTCCCTTTTGCCCTCCCTTCCCTGTACCTTCTGCCTGGCCTTCTCGCACCTATCAGCCTGCCAACGTGCTGCTCAACAACCCCCACAGCGACCGGCCCACAGTCAAGCTTACGGTACGTGACTTGTTGCGAGTTGAGGAATTGAAGAAAAAGAAGCCACGTACAATGTGGCCACATTCCATTTGGCACCTGCAATCAATTCAGCGGAGGCAGGCCCACTGGGTCTTTATAGTTATGTGTGTAGAGGTATGTATGACCCCCAACTGGTCAGTTGCATGCCATATAAAGCTGCCGTACCGCAACTCTATCGATTCCTGCAGGACTTCGGGCTGTCTCGGCTTCGTGTGACGGTGGCTCCAACGGAGAATCCGAATGCGGGCACGGTGAGCGGGCGGGTGGCGGCAAAGTGAAAGAGGCGACAAGGACCGCAGGATTGAGGAAAGTTAGGCTGCCAGGACGGGGGCAGTGGAATCACACAATCCAAATACGACAAACCAGGGCCCTATGGTGGGACTAACTGTACTCGGCTCCACAGTAGCTCAGGAAACCTCGTAGTGAACCTCTATCTACTCGCCTGGGAAACTCTAGTAGCTAGTACACAGTACGGCTCTACAAATACGCGCGAAGCGCGACCACCAGCATCTCGAGAGGCCTTTTCAGTGGTGGCCAGCTATTACAGAAACCCTCTTCTACCGGTATGATCATGTACCGGTGTGTACGACACTTCAGATGGTCTGAAGTGTAACAACCAGCACCATAAATTTATGGCAGCATGCAGCATGGCATGGCCAGGTTTCGTAGGCTTCTTTAGGTTCTTTCGGTAGCCGCGGTGGTGGCGACGGCGACATCGTGCATAGTTTGTGCACGTAGGCGCTGGCCAGCCATTCCTTTCTACCAGGCTAAAACCGATTGATCTACTCATCCCCCTTATCAATAATCGCCGTACGTCCACGACACTCTACCTGGACCGGACTGCTCATCCCTTCAGCCCGCCTACATGGCACCGGTGAGTTCATTCACTGTGTTGGGGTTATCCATCATTGATGTCATCAGGGCTCTGTGGCTTAAGGGGCTGTGGCTGGGATTGGGCCGGGTGTTGTCATCAGCTGTCCATCAGCTGCCCATCAGCTGCTCTGCTAATGGCTTGCTGGTTACCCAGTTTACCAAGGTGATGATAGGAAAACTGGCTTGAGAGTGTCTTACACTGCAAGCCCGGTTTCCAGGCGCCTTCCGCGCCCGAGAACGTGCATATTTACGCTTATATATCTTTCGGTTTTCTCCGAAAATGCCTTCGGGAGGCTTCGGTGGGGCCCCCGAAGAAATGCTCTAAAAGGCCCAGAATCCGTTCGGAATGCTCCGGGGCGCACAAATTATATCCTTTCGGGCAAAACGGAAAAAAATCTCGCAAAAACGTTCAGGCTCGAATCGGGGTGAAGAACCCATTCACTGAAGACATGTTTTTCCATTCCGCCTACCTTCTGCACCTGCTTACCAGTTTACCCATGTCTGCCTATGTCTAAGTTTGTCTATCTGCCTGCTTCTTTCACATATACGGAACCCCTGGTGCCACCCAACACCCGCCCTTGCTGCTACACACATGCACGTACACAGGAGTGCTTCGACTTGCAAAATAGTCAGGTCACACATAAAGCGGTGAGGGAGGGACCCAGTGACCGCGTGAGGGAGAGAGGGGCAGGCGGATGAGGGGACCTACTTACTTACCGCGGGGCCGCTGGGGGGCCCGCTGGTGAAGCTACACCACCCTGTAACCACCCAACATCATACCGCGGGGCCGTTCTTGTGCTTCTTATCCTGCGCCCGGGTCCAGCAAGCAGGCAGGCTAGGCCGCACTGTGCCACAACCTACCTAGCCCCGAGGGGCCATCACTGACAATAAGGCAGGCAAGCAAGCAATGGCCGGCATCTCTGCATGTTGTATCAATTGTCAATGTATCCCACGTCTCTCGTCATGGCGCCGTAGGAATCTTGTTTATGTTTATGTGTGTTGTCGTGGTGGTACTGACGCCTCCAACAAATCGCCGCGCACCCTGCTGCGCCCTGCTGCACCAGGATATGTTCTCGCTGGGTGTGCTGCTGTGGGAGATGCTGGCCTGCAAGAGGCCCTGGCCTGGCCTGAACCCGCTGGCGGTCGGCGTGACGGTGGGTGCAGGCTGATGGTTCATTCAGTCTGATGGTGATGGTCTGATCACGAACAGTCTCATGGCTGCGGTGACATGCTGCGTGAACCGGCCGTTTAACTGCTGCTTTATTCCGCTAGCTCTCCAGCTGACCACCTGGCCTGCCAGAGGAGCCCTGCAAGTGTTTAAATACACGTATGGAGGTTCGAGGACCCCTCCATGCTAATAAGCAACAGTCCACGGACCAGTGTGCATCATGACACCCCCCGACCAGCAAAAAGACGGGCGGCAAGGTTGGAGATCCTCAAAAAAACCTTCTGTCCAGGGTTTCCATCCAGCCGGATGTATTCGGGAGGTGTCAGCCGCTACTCAGCGTGAATATGTGTCCGCATATACAGGTAGCGTTCAACGGCATGCGCCCTCCCCTGGATGAACTCCTGGCCTCCGAGCGCTGTTCACTCAAGCTGTGTCGTCTGCTGGTAGCGTGCTGGGAGACGGATCCGGACCGACGGCCGGCGGCTGCGGAGGCAACCAAGGAGCTGGCGTTGATCCTGGTCAGTAGTGAAAGGGGGCGGATGAGCGAGGCAAGCTCGACATGCATAGCTGGGGGCATAGCTGCAGGCAAAGGAGGGGCCGGTATTGTGTATGGTCATACAGTCGTTTCGCCAGCAGCCACGTTTCGTGCCTGTTTCGTGTGTAGCACCTGACACCGCCCACCGTAGGCTTAGGTAGCTGCGAGCGCCTGTAGAGGGAAACAACAAAATAGCAAAGGAGGTCACCGCGAGCAGGGGGGCGGGGTGTGTGTGCTGCACGAGCATGGGCAGGTAGGATGGAAGGCAAATCCTGGTCGGAAGTCGTTTTGGCTGTTTCGTGTTGTCAGCTGCGCATTCGTCTTATGCGAGCAACAGGCGCATAGTAGCTTTTCATGATGCCACGTGGATAATTTATATATTCAGGGCTGTCTGCAGCAAATGGTTTTGGCCTACCCAACTCTACCCACGAGGCCCCGCACCAGGCTTCTAGCTTGTCGACCATAGCGTGGTATGCGCGCTGTATTGTGCCGCCGCAGCACCCGGCTTGCTTGCCTTTCCATTCCACATACGTTCCCTAACACACATACGCGCGGTGGTGAACCCGCCTGCAGCAAGGTCAGCAAGGTCAGCAGCTCCAATTCAAACAGCAGCTGGTGCAGCCCGTACTGGATAGGACAGGACAGGAAGGCGGACGCGGCCGTTGTTTGCAGCTACCGACTGCTCCTCGGGCCGAGTTCACTGCCGCAGCCGCTGCTGATGCTCGGGATGGTGATGTTGCCCTTGCCTCGCTGGCACGCGGACCGCAGCAGTCCATTGTCTGGTTATAACTCCCGGATATCAGTGAGGAGGACCTTCGGGGTGATCCCTCATCTTCCAATTCATTATCATAAACAGGAGGAGGAGCAGCAGCAGCAGCAGCAGCAGCAGCAGCAGCAGCAACAGTGGCCTAAGCTAGCTATCTAGCTGCGGCAGACCAAGGGCGGCTGCAGGAGGATGGGATTCATTTCAATTGCGCGTGCAGCCACCAATTATGATGTGTGGGACAAGGGGCATATCTTTACCCGTGGCCGCTACCTGGCGAAACCCAGCCTTCCCCGGTATTTCTGGGCATCCTCATCTAGTCACCCTAGTCAACCTCTCAGTGGATCGCTAAGGTTCCGCACTCACTACCGGCATCCAACGGAATCTGCCGTATTAACGGCGGCTCAATTTCTGGTTAGCTAGCAAGTCAACTTTATCCCAGATTACCACCATCCGTCGACTAGGGCCACAATACCTTCCATCATCTAATGGCTTTTCGACCTTGTTAGGTCTCGATCCCGGGATCTCCCGGGGGCAATGATTCAGGTCCATGCCTTATATTTCTACCAAGTATGTGCGCAGGATCTTAACCGTTTTCTGTTGTTTATGTATCAGTTGGAAGCTTATTAGCTGGGTTCATATATCCTGGCTGGCTTGCTCGCAAGTACATGGTTGCATCTTTCTAGGCTTGGGCTCGTCCGAGCATCACGTACGTGTCTTATGGAATGCATTGCTCAAAAAGATGTGTGCAGGACTTAGCGCGTTGGCGGCCTGAGCGACCATGCTTAGTGAAGTACTGTGCACCTGAACGAAGTAAAACGTGTCACCGTATTATGAGGGCAGCATTTTAGCGTTCCATGTGGTTACCTTGAGTCATGCGCATGTGCACAACACATGGGCGTTTGTTTTGCGTACACAGGCTATTGTTGCTAGATGGCTCGACATACCCCCCATAGAAATTAAAGGACAAAAAGGTGAGGAGAAGCTATGCGCGAAATTGCTGGAGCCGAAAGCAGAGAGAATGCAATATTTTGTGCAAGAAGTTGTGATGTGTGTATGGATGCATGGAACGCTACGTTTATACGTATCGAATGGAGGCATATCCACTTTGGACGGTAAGGAAAACATAAGAATACCGTACGACTGTGTGTGCCGAAAAAGTAAACCTAAAGTATGTTTATGGCCAACTATTTTGCAGGTCAGCGGCCACCCTCCGTGACCGCGGCCTCTAGTTCGTTTTAATACCGCACTGCCAGGGAGGGCACCTGCGGTGTGTGTTTTGCCCTCAGGCCCCCTAGCGCTGGCAAGTGTAGCAGCTGACCGCTGAAAAGGTCTCTCGAGTTGCTGGTGGTCGCGCTCTGCGCGTATTTATAGCACCGTACTGTGTACCGGCTGCTACACAAGGGATTTCTGTGGGGGCAAAAGCCTGGAGCGGGTGCCGTACACGGAGGACGCTGGCATGAGTAAGTGTCGTGCTTGCCACTTTATTTACAAAACCTCCAAACGCATCATCATGACATTGCGTTTGCATCACCTTTTGTGGTTGGTCTCTCCTGGTTTGGAGCTAGTTTGGAGCTTACTAGCATACAAACAGGCCTTCCTTGCAATGTGCAATTAACCATGCAAATGATTTCCGGTTTCCAACCGGATCCTTACACAGGCACCTAATGTGGACGTGTGGCGTGAGCCTTAATGTCTTAGAGGCGTTTGTTAGCTGCTTGCGTGCTACTCAAGTATGGTGCGTGCGTGTATGCGTGCCAAGCGTCTGTAAAATATTGTATGTTCCATATACCCCTACACCCTGGGTTACACTTAAGGGGGGGTTACCCCGTTTTATGCCATAGGGTCAATAGGATTGCCAGTCTCACGGGAACAACTTTGGCTTGTCCAAGCCCCACAAACAGTGCAACAATGTGCCAGCCATGGAGCATGGGAGACGGTATATGGCTGCAACCATGAAAACCAAACCGGCACTGTTACCTGGCCCTTGCCTTACAGAAGGAGCCATTTGTCGAGTTGTTGTTGACTTTTGGGGCCGCCTTCGGGGTTTCGCAGCTCTGGGAATTCCACGGAAAGGTTGGGATTCTGTTGGGGCACATCACCCCTTTTTGCGAATTGTGTCGGGCAAATTTTATGCTCACGGGAGCGATCACCAATGGACGATTAGCTATCACCTATTTTTTGTATTCTCTAATTGGAGGACTTTTGAGACTCAGGCCTCATTCAAAAATGATGGTGAGTCCCGAGCCTTCCCTTTGGTCGCAGTTTTGGCTGTCTAATTGACTTGCTTTGTCTCATCTGTTGCAATCTAGTTTGTATATTAGTCTCTTGTGCAGTGCACGGCCAGCTGGCCCGCTGGCTCTACTCTTCGCGAGTCTGGAGGCCACTGTAACAACCACACACACACACCACAACCACACTGTACTACGCCATACGAGCTGTAAGTCCAAGGCAATTGATCCTGCCTTCTAGGATCCCTCCTTAGCCGTTCACCCGAACATCCGCAGGAACAGAGGGTTCAGCAATCGCTACCAATCCAGCGTTCGAATCTCGGTCTATCAACTGTTGCCTTTAAGCAGCCAGCTACTACAGTCTCGCGCCGCATGTAAATTTGTCGTTACGTGCAAAAATCTTACAAGGCCCATAGGTAATGCAGTTTATGAATAAGAGCCACGCTATAACGCATAATCAATTTGCTTCGGTGTATAGTGAGCGAGTAGCGTGCATCGCCATACCGGTACATCATTATCCGGGTTTCGATCAGTTCGACGGGCGCCACATGGCTGCGGCCCGCGGGGAGGGTAATCCTGCTCGGCCTACTTCGGTGCCGCCCAGTTTGATGCTGCGCTTAGAAGCTTCGCAGTTTGCTAGATTGCTGCCATCGCAGGTTCCTTGCAAGGAACCCAATTGGGTGATGGTTGGGTTGTCGTTGGGATGGAAGTGGACGTGCAACCAAGCCTAAATAAACATATTCGGCTTTCTGCATAATAATCAAATTCAAATTCTCAATCCATTGACTCTTTCCAGGTCTAACCCGGTTGCGGACGGAGTTGATAGCAACTTCGCGCAACGCAAAGCATCCTGCAGGATGAACCTTCTAGGAACAGCAGATAATGGGCGGGCGTCGAACCCCAACTTATTTAGCTAAAGCCGCGCAGACCATTCATGGTCTAGCGCGAAAAGGGCCAAAGGTGCTGACGTGACCTATGAGGTGGACGTTAGCGCACGCTAAACCATGTACACAATGCCTCCAGATGATCGATGCCTTTATACTCCCAACTGGTCTATTATGCGGCACTGTATCGTCGCGGCCGTAATCTTGAGCATCACGGTTGCGGTCCTCCACTCCGGTGTCATTAGCCATGGCCACGAGGACTACGCTTTCTCTGATGAAACATTCTTGCATGGTAGGCAGAGGTAGGCTTAGGTGAAGCGAACCCTTCGGGCCGGGCAACTGTCTGGTAAAGGCTAAGATGGGCTGCTGCCGTCTTGTTGCACCCCTACCTGCGCCTCTACCTGATACCCAATTTAGGCATCCCTGAACATCTCAACAATAACAACAACTCCTCCATTACAGTAGTCCGTTCGCATACAGTTGACCCTAAGTGACCGAAACCACTTCTGCAGCTCCAACTGCTGCCGTCGTTGCTAGCTTTGATTGCTCCTGCAGCGTATCTCGTCTCACACGTGGCCCGCTGCTCACAGTCATTTTGTTTTCCACTGCCCTCCCTTCCCACTGTCCCACCGCCTGTCACGACCGCCACAGGCCTTCCGATACCTAGCTTTCCCGTAGCGCTGCCCCTCGCTGAGCGCATCAACCTCCTGTTCCCTTCAAGCGCCCTTAGCAGCAGTACCAGCAGCAGCAGCAGATCTGACTCCAGGCCCCAGTCCGGTTCCCATTCCCCCCCTATTGATATCATTATCGCCACCACCAACACAACCAACACAACCACAAGCAGCCACGCTGCCCCTCCGCCACCCTCGCGCCTGGTAGTGCTGCCCGACATCCACGGAGATGGTCCTCAGGCTCTGAGGGCCCTACATCTAGCTGGCCTGATTTCCCGTACGACAGCCGCAACCGTCAATAACAGCTTTTCAGCAACCAATTCTTCCTCGTCGCGGTCCTGGTCTTCCTCGGAGACGGAGGCGGAGAAGTCCTCCTCCTGGCAGGGGCATTATTGGCAGGGGCAATGGCAGGAGCGGGACGGGTGGCAGTGGTCGGGTGGCGACACGGTGCTGGTGCAGCTTGGGGATATGGTGGACCGGGGGCCCGACAGCTTGGCGTTGCTGACGTGGCTGGAGAGCCTGAGGGTGAGTGCTTGCGATACAACTTTGGGGGGGGGGGGAGGGGAACGTGGCGGACATCACAGGGCACGGATAAACACATACCTGTCTGTATGCATGTATGTCCCTTGCCTGTCTCTTGTATGTATGTATGTATGTCTCTTGTCTGCCTGCCGATCTTGCAGCGCACCGCGGCAGTCCCCCTCCGCTCTTCCGCCGCCGGGGTTTGCAGCCCCTCCCCGTTCCCCCGGGGCCCCCACTCCCCCCGCCCGCCCCCTGCTGTCCGTCCCGCCCTGTATCGCACCCGCTGTTGTTGCTGCCTCAGGGTCAGGCGCGAGCAACGGGTGGTGATGTGGTGGCGCTCCTGGGCAACCACGAGCTCATGAACATACATCACGACTTCAGGTGTGTGTGTGTGTGTATGTGTACGTGTACGGCGCAATGCGGGACGACTGAATGAGCGTATGAGGTATCCTGGTATGGGGTCTGAGAGCGGAGAGCATCAGAGTGCCGTTGGATCGTCGAGATGTAAAAACTTTCCTTGGTTTGAGACGGTGACTGCGATGGGGGACGCAGCGCTGAGGTGCAGTTTGGTCGCGGAGGTCGTTGTGTGTATGTGTGTGTGTAGAAGGATAACTGTCGCGGTCGCTGTCGCTGTCGCTGTCGCTGTTGCAGCTGCGGCATATGTGCAGCTTTAGTTTAAAATACGCACATAGATGCATGCATACATACATACATACATACATACACACGTACTCAACAAGTAATGAGCATCACGACGTCATTCGAGCCACCTGCCACCTGGGGATAACTGACTAACTGCTAACTGCTAACGATTATCCAAGAGGAGCAAAACAAACTGGGAGCACAACCCGCCGTTTCAGCGCCGCAGGTACGTGGCTCCCGCGGAAATTGTGGCGCTGGCGGAGGCCGCGGAGGCTGGAAAACTGCCGTCGCCATGGACGGCGAGTCGTACGACAATGGCATCTACACGGTACGGCGCAGCCCTCAACGGAGGCGGCGGCGGCAGAGGAGATCCGGGGCTGGCCTCGTATGTGCATGGCAGCTCGCGTGTCGTACAGCGCATGGATGACGTCGCTGCCGACGAGCGAGCGATACCCGAATTGAAGCCTGGGAAGGGGGGAACCCTGGAGGGGCCGGAGGCGGCGGCGGCGGCGGCGGCGGCGGCGGCGGCGGCGGACGAGAGCGTGGGCGAAAAGGCGGAAGAGTCGCCTCAAGATGCTGCGCTGCCAGCGCTACGGCGACGTGCTGCGGACCGAGAGCTTTTACACGACAACCACCTAACCGTTTCCAACTGTCGCGCCGCCGCCGCCGCCACCACTGGCAATCGCTTGGTACCCTGTGAGTTAGAAGGAGTGGAAGTTGCCGTCAACAGTGAAGACACGCCAGCAATGGGGTCGTTGCACAACCGGAGACTTGTACAACAGCACCACCACCGCGACCCCATCCAGCAGCAGCACCAGCAGCTCCTGGCGGGGCTTGACGTTTGGAGGGAAGCGTTGGCGGCCGACGCGCCGTTGGGTTCGTTGGTACGACAACGACCATTGGCTGCGCTCATCGACGCCGGCGGTTGCCGTGTACTTGCCGTACATGCGGGTGCCTTTCCGTGGATGCTGCACGCCGTCGAGCTGCTGTTGCTGGGCGACGGGGGTTCCGGCGGTGGCGGCGGCGGCGGCGGCGGCGGCAGCGGTACGGCAGGGGGTCAGGGGGCCTCCTGGGTCTTGGAGCCTGAGCAGTACGTCGCCGCATGGAATGCCGCGACAGCCGGGGCGCTGAGGTTCTGCGAGGGCCGCAGCTGCCGGCGGCGCCGTAGCGGCGGCGGCGTAGGCGGCAGCGGCTCCAGTGGTGACGGCAACGGCGATGTGTACGAGCGCTCTCGTCTGGCATTGGCAGGTTGGAACGCCGTCATGTCAGGAGTCGTAGTGGGGCGCCGTACACCGCCTCCGCACCCGCTGAGGCTTGGGCTGGGGACAGCAGGTTGTTCCGGTCAGGGTCTGCTTGTCTGTGTATGTATGTATGTATGTATGTCGTGAGACAATGATGATGACGATGATCCCGGTACGGCCACGTTTCTGTCCCCCCCCGCTACCGGTGTGTGTGTGTGTAGACCTACTTCTGGGGGGTGAAGGAGCCGTTTGGAGTCGTCATCTCGCACACGGCCCTCGGCATCAGGTTAGCGGTGGTGGTGGTGGTGGTGGTGGTGGTAGTGGTGGCAGAAGGGTGAGCGGGTTTGTGGGGACCGACCTGCGACGAGGCTGTTGGGTAGCAGTGTAGCGGTAGTAGAACCAGCAGCAGGAGCAGCAGTAGTAGCAACAGCGCTAGGAGCAGCAGCAGTAGCATCACCAGCAGCAGTAGAACCAGTAGTAGCAGGTGGTGTACATCTCCCCCTGCCGCCGCCACCGTCATTGCTGCGGCCCTCGCTCCTCTCTTCTCCCCGGGCCCCCCGCCCTCAACTGCCTTCAACCCCCGGCACCGCAGGTGTGCCTGGAGGTGGCTGCGGTGGTTAGTCGGTTGCGAGTTGAGCGGTTGCTGGTTGGGCACACGATTCAGAGAGGTGGTCGAGTCAGCAGCAGGTGGGTGCTTTCTTCAGGAGCTGGGGTGAGGTGAGGTGTGAGGTGAGGGCGGTGGAAAGGAGGAGAGCAGCACCCTGGAGCTTGAGTTTTGGACTTGGGTTTGACCGTGGGGTCGGGGTTGGTAAGTTGGAAGCAATGGTTTGGGGGGCCCGCACTCCTCTCAGTCTCATTGTCAGCCCGACCAATCTTAATGCCCTCACCCTACGTCAATGGTCTCCAACGGTCACCAACGGTCACCAAGCCTCGGTAACTCCCCGACCCCCAACTACCCCCATTGACGCCCCTCAGCCCCTAACCCCACCCCACCCCACCCCTTGCCCACCTCATGTTGTGTTGACCAGATGTGGGGGGCAATTACTGCTGGCGGATGTGGGGATCAGCCGGGCTATTGCCGGGGAGATGGCTGTATTACAGTGCTCGTCCGGGAAGTTGGATGTGGTGTACGGCAACGGTCGCGTGGAGCGCCTCTTTGCTGAGGCGGTGGCGGGATAGGCGGATGGAGGAGGAGGCGGAGGAGGAGGGATAGGGGAATTTTGAGGAAGGAAGTTTGCAAACCCGCGCAAGAATTGTTGAGCAAGCGCAAACAAAAACGTCAGGGGGGATTTGGAAAGGATGTGGTGCTCGTCCAACGAGAGCATGTATGTATGATGTGTTGGTGTATGATGTAGCTTCACCAGCGGCCCCCTTTCCCAAGGCAGTTCCCTGCTCTCCCCTGCGAGAGGGGCACCCTAATCCATTCACCCCATCCGATTTTCAGAATGTTTTCGTTGGGTTCAGCAACTCACCAACAGCATCCAACCAAATCTAGCGGATCAACGGCGCCTCAACTTAGTTCCTGGTCAGCTCGCAAGAGAGCATGTATGTATGTATGTATTATGTATGACGTTGATTACACGGTGGGCTGGAAACGCCAGTTTTTAGGGCCGAAACACAGCGGGGGGGGGCAGACGCACACGGCTGGTTAGTCTCGTGCATTCCGGCCCCGGGTCAAATGGAGTGAGGAACGACGGCCGGCACTAAGCAGCACTCAACACCGGGAGATGGCTCTGCAACTGAACGGGCTCCATGCCCGCTGGTCACCAAAGAAGAACCACAACTGCGCCATGTCCGCGAGGTGACCCCCGGGTCTTGTGCCCAGCTGTCAAGCATGCATACGTAGGACGCATTATTGATGTGAAAGCTGAAGCTGTCTAGAGCTGACGGGCGTGATGCCATTGGCAGGATTCGGTGAACGGGTAAATCCGACATACCGTTTTCGGTTGGTAAGGCCACAACCTGGATCAAATGGTGTGGGGGGTGGTCTTTCTGTACGGGAATTAATTGGAATTCTGTCAGAACCTACAGTTTGCAACTCCGTATCATCGTCTGTTAGGCCATCAAGAGCAGGTGCCAAATTGAAGGGTAGCCTTGCGAACATAACGAATTTGGCAATAAAAGAAACAATAACGTAACTGCAATATTCATAAAGTCGCTGTCTTTTGGTTCATTTGGCTTATCAGGTTGAGCTTGCACATACAGAACCTGGAAATGAGGCTGTGCGGCCTTCCTGGCGTGCAAGGAAAAGGATTCGCTGCGCGGTTGTCCAATCAACATGGTATGATAATTGACTTGGAGGTCTTTGTTGGATCATTCCCATTAAATGATGTTCTTGCTCGGCGGCAGGCTCCAGATGGACCTGCTTGCGCACGTCCAACCGGCGGATTGTGCGGATGGTGTCCGAGAAACAGGCGGAGGAGGTGTGCTCAATTGGGTCGCTTGATGCAATGGCACGGCTCCTCGCAGAGCCGCGTTTTGCATGGTCCCTGAGTTGCCCACATTCTCGTACGCGCGCAACAAGTCGCTGGGGTTACTCTCTAACCTGCTACGTATACACTTGCCGTTTTTATTGAGTATTCCTTCTGGCCGTAAACCACTAGGTTTGACTCGGGGTTGCATGGACTAGCGGTAACCCGCCAGCCTCCCCAGTCCCCACACAGCAGCTAGCACGGGATATCACAAAGATCAGGCAGCATGTCATCAACCATTTCGTCTCCAACCTTAAGAAGCTACCTCTGCTCTTTATGCCAGTGATAACAAACCGCATCCGTACTGCCGCGACCTCCGCAACCTGGCCCTGCAGGCCGCTGTAGAGAGCATCGAGTCCGGCCTCGCCCAAATTACCAAACAGATTCTCGCAACAGATCCGGAGGCCCGAGAGAGCCTGAGGCGGTACGAGGAGGCCGTGGTGAGTGTCTAAGTGCTAACGGGGGGCGGCGCAGTAGTAATGGGCAGTACGAGGTGCCAGCGGGTGACTGAGTGGTAATGGTAGTGGTTGGAATATGCTCTTCACGGTGGCTGAATGGGTGGTACTTTTGCTGCTACTGCTGCTGCTGCTGCTGTTACCCCCCTAGCTATCTCACTGTCCTGTTTCCTTCCTACCTACTCGCCGAAATCGCATTTATCCCCCCGGCGCACCTTCCTGCTCCGGAACCACCCCCCGGCCCCCTTCCCTCCCTTCCTCCCTCCCCGTCCAGATTCGTCTAGAGAAGGCCAAGGCCGCCAGCGAGGAGCTGGACCGCATGTTTGCGGAGGCCAGCCGGGGCGCTGCAGCCACTGACCGGCAGACGGAGGAGGAGCAGGTAGGGCAGGGGGGCCATGGGGGGCCAAGGGGGCAGGGGAGGGGTGAGGGAAAAGGGTAGACACGCGAGGGAGTGGGGGCCACACCGGGTGGGGTTCGGGGAGGGCCCTCAAAGGGCGGGAGGGACCCGATGAAGAACCCTCGCAACGGAACGTAACTTACAGCAGCAACAGCAGTAGCAGCAGTAGTGGCAACAGCAGTAGCAGCGGTAGTAGCAGCAGCACCAGAAGCAGCAGCAGGAGCAACAGCAGCAGAAGCAACAGCAGCAGGAGCAACAGCGGCGTCCACCGGACGCTCATTCGCCACCCCAATGCACTGCGGCGGTTTGCTCTGTCATCACTGTCGTCGCTGGGAGGGCGTTTGGTAAATATTGTACCCCGTAGGGTGTCTCTGCTGACATCCGCCGATCGGTCCTTTTCCGAAGTCGTGTGATACAATAATTGAACGATGCTGTTATACTCCCGCCCCCTCGCCCCCGCGCGCCCCGCTGCCTTTGTTTCCGTTTTGCGTCTTCTCCGTGTCCTTGTTCTGCTGGGTGGTGGTGGTGGTGGTGGTGTGTAGCGTCAGCGGGCAAACGAGCGGATGGCGGATGCGGAGGTGGAGGCGGCGGAGAGGTTGTTCAGGGCCGCGGAGCTAGAGTACGCGGCGGCTCGCAAGGCACAGCAAGAGTGGTCGGCGGCGGCGACAGAGGTAAAAGACTCCAGCTGCCACCCCCTCTCTCCTCCCTTTCCCTTCCTCTCTCACTCCTTCCCTCCCAAACACACAGGTGCACAGAAACCCTTACTCCTCACGACGATATATATATACACACATACACACACACACACGCAGACACACACACGCGCACTCGGCCCCATATCCCTCCTCTGTTTCATGTAAGCCCGCTACCACACCGGCCACCACACCGGCTCCGAAAGTGAAAGCGGCTCACCGGGGCCGGCTACTGCCGTCGCCGCCGCAACATCATTACCAGTATTATCCTTTCTCCGCCGCCGCCGCCGCCGCTGCCTCCACGTTACATCATTCCGCCAGCGTAAGGCCCCTTCCCGCAGCGACCCCCCCCCCTTGACTCACACCTCCCTTGTTTTCTCTTCCTCAGGGCCCGGAGCGCGTGGAGTCCATTAAGGCGGCGATTGTGGCTGCGGCGGCGGGGCTGGCGGCGGAGCTGCCCCTGGTGGCGCTCAGCGGCGGCGGCGGCGCCGACGGTGCCACAACCGCCGGTGGGCCGCTGTCCTCCGCGTTGAGCCTGCTATCGGCTGCGGCGGCTTGCTTCCTGTTCGGGGTCACCTACCGGTGAGAGCTGTGAAGAGAGAGGGGAGAAATGGTTGAAGAAATAGTTGAGAAGAGGAGAGGATGAAGAGGTGGCACATCTGCATGTATGTATGTATGTATGTATGAGGATGGGAAAGTGGCATGAGCGCGGTGGGATATGGATGCGCCTCTCGCGCAAAGCCCTATGCATGTCTTTGTGTTTCAGGACTACTTTGCAGAGTCCGTAGCAAAATCCAGGGTGAGATACTAAGGTATTCGTACCTGTACGGGAACCTGAGGAGGTCAAACCCCCGCAGCAATGCCCTCACTGGCACTTATCGTCACACACACGTCCTCTTAAGCCCGCTCTCAACCTGGTCGAAGTCCTCTTTCAGGGCCTGCCTTGGCCCTGACCTTATGAGCTATGGGCCTTGTTTGACGTGGTACGGCACGGTACGGCAGGTACGCGGTCCGCAGCGACTCATCCAACCGGCAGCTGCGGCTGGGTGTCGTGGCGGCGTTTGGACTGGTGCGCGCGTCGGCGCGCGGCGGATGTCCTGCAGACGACTGCTGCCGCTGCGGCAGCGGGTGCCGGCGGCCGCAGCGGGGGAAGGCGACGCCGTCGGGGGCCCCCTGTCCCTCTCCGTGATAGGTCCCGCGGCTTTGTACGCGCTGGAGAGCTTGCTGCTGTTTGGCTTTGCGTCCGCGGCTGTTGAGGTGGGTGCGGGAGAGGCAGTTATTGGGGGGGGGGGTTGTGAGCGCCCGTCTGCCGGGGCCCGGGGGGAGAACTGCGTGGGGAGGTGGTAGCTGTGGGCGAGGGGCTTGGTGCTTTTGGGGGCCGGGGCAAGAAAGCGCTCGGAAAGCGCGAATTAGAGAGAAACAAAAGAGAGTGAGAAAGAGGGATTTGACTGCTACTGCTGCTGGCTGCTGTTGCATACTCCTGACGTCTGCAGGCGGCATTCGGCGCCGGGCTCCTGAAGCGCTTCGCTGAGGAGGGGAGGCCGTCTTCGTCGTCCACCGCGTCCTCCCCCCCTCCGTAGACGGCATGCCGGCGCCCGCCTCCTCCTCCTCGACCTCCCCGTGATCCATATCCCTAGTTCTCCTCCTGGTATTCTGTAGTTAGCTGCCCTGCCTTGCCCTGCGCGTGTATGGAGGCTAGGGAAGGTGGAGGGCGAGGAGGAGAGAGGAAGAGGAGGTGAGTAAGAGGAGGAAAAGCGGGCGAAGGAGGAGGAGGGTAAGGAGGAGAATCGTTTTCTGCAGCGTATGGACGTGGTCTGCTGTCTGGCTATTAGTAGTGAATAAAAGCAGGGGAAAGGAGGGAAGGGGGGAAGAAGGGAAGAAAGGAGAGGAGGAGAGAAAGAAGACCAAGCAGGTTGTTATTGTAGCAGTGCCAGTAGTAGTAGATGGAGAAGGTGGGGGAGGAGGAGGAGGAAGAAAAGAAGGGGAGGGGGGAGAGAAGCTCTGCGGGGGTCGGGGAAATCACCAAACCCTCCCGGATAGGATAGGGGGGAAGCGGAAGAGAAGTTGGGAGAAATTTGTGATACAGTTGTGGGTCGTATTTGTGGAAAGATCTTTTAATTCTCGGATGGGACATATCGCGGTTCCTAGCCGTCGGATGGGACATATCGCACCGACATCGCACATATGGGGCTCTGCAGAGGATCTGGGAGTCGGGTCGGATCGTATCGGAGCATTATGCCGTGGATGGTTTCATACTTGTCTGTCTACCTGTCTGTCTGTATGTCTGTATGTGTGTACGATTACTTGCATGCCCTTCCTGGCACTGGTCAAGGGGGCCTGGGGCTGGCGAGGGGTATTTTTACTGTCGTAACGGAAAGCAACATACTCCCAAGTCCGGGAGGAGAGAGGGGAAGCGCGAAGAGGAGGAGGAGGAGGGGGGGCCGCCCTTGCTCCCCTTTCCACTTCCCTAACCTGAAGACCGTCTGTTTCCACGTTCACTGGGGCACCGGGCGGGATGGGAAAACCCTAAAACCCACCTCAACTGACTGACCGCGAAGCCATGTGAAGGACGTCTGTTGTGTTCGTTGAGTTCCTGAGGCCCCGTCCGCCTCATGATCCAGGGATGGGGAAGGGACTCGCTAAGTAGAGGGTTTAGGCGGTAGCACGTCAGGCACCCGTGCATGGAAGGACACATGCATATGCGCATTTGGGCTTCGGCGTATGAGGTACCGCTTTGTGCACCGCGCGGTTTGTTGATTTGGGTTTGGGGGAAGGCTGAGTAGCGGGGTTGTTGATTGGAGGGAAGGATTGGGATATAGGCTTGGGGGGTCGGGTGGGGGCCCTGCAGCCCTCTGCGGCTAGGTCGTAGTTGTCTCTGCTCTCTGCTTCTAATCTTTTAAGTTGTCCTCAAAGGTGGTGCCCCTTGGAGGGAGACGCAAAGGAAGGGATGTGCGGTGCAAAACACCCCTTTCCCCGGGACTGGTGTTTTCCTAAAAAATTTAGAAAAATCTTTAGAAAAATCTTACAAATGTCGGCAAAATTATTAGGTTCCTAAGCTTCCGATTATGCATCATCACAAGGGACTTCGGTAGTTGTTTATTGGCATGTCGGCACTGGTTTCCTTGGCTTGGGGCTCCGGCAGTCGGTATTGCTACTATGGTGTTTGCTGCCTGCCGCATATGATTCTCCCCCAGGGCTGAGGGTTGAAGGCGCAGAAGACGCCGTTCTTTTGCCGGTTAGATGCTTGCATGTTTAACAAAGTCCAAGTGTTATGCCTTTTCATTGTCAAGTGGCCGTGCTAATGCCAATTCAAGCATTGACGTTGTTTGGTGTGTCGACGTATCTTCTGGCAACTGAGCACCAACCCTGAGCCGCCATCTCACCAGACACGGCTTTAGACTCAACTCCGGGAGCACATTCTTCTTTCCTTTTTTTAAGAAGGTACGATGCCAACTAAAACATCACGAACATTGAAACAGCACTGGCCATGAATCGGTGGTGAGAGCCAGGCGAGCAGATGGGTGCAAAACGCGACCGTAACGAGCGCAAAGCTCATCGATTGGCTGCGGAGTACGGCAACAACCCGGTTCGACAAAACTGGACATGATATGTAAAGACAACAAGGGTTCTTGGAACGTTGAAAGCCGTAAGGTCCTGCGTTTTTCAAATGGGAAGGGTCGGTAAGGATGCGTGGGCAGGAAAGGAAGGCTGGAAGGACAACGCATATGCCGCCTGTACTCTATCCTGCCCTTCAGGCGGTTCAGAGGTTGTGCGGCGAGGGCCCAGACTCATTTGAGGTGCGCGATCCGCATGTGGCAGTAGCCCTGGGGAAGCTGGGTAGGCTTGGCGCATCGGTGGATTAAATGGTTGGGTACGTAACATGCTTATTATGTCTATTCATGATAAGGAATGGACGAGGCAGCAGGTTCATTTCTTGTGGGTGCCAACGACTTGTTGAGTTCGTGCGAGCAACAACCTGAGAGCCTTAAGAGGCCTTGCTGATGTTGAGAACCTTGGTGTAACTCCGGAGCAACTAGAGGGAATTTGGAAGAGCGTGCCAAGGATTGCCTCGTTTGCCGCTTCGCACTATTTCGGAAATATATAACGTGCCGAAAATTCACCAGTATAATAGTCTATCAGGGGTTAGTTATCCCCATGTGTCCTTCCATACCATATCTTTTCTACATTGCTATGCTGACGTACGAAAGAATTGAATCATGGACCACTCCATGGAACATGAAATAATCTAGTACGAGGACATTAAGAACCCCATTCCATGATAATATAGTACCTTGCAACTTTTAATCCTCGTCATTTCAGCATGGGTTCTTCTACGGTGTCGACCTGTACGGCGTCCTGCAGAAGCCGAGCAGTCGACGTCTGCACACAGCAGGTTGAACCGGTTGGGAAGGTCGTGGGGACCTAGATAGATATCAGGAGGCCATTTTGTATTCATCGCGGAGCTGGCAAATATCGGCATCAGCCGCCTTCACCGCTTGAGCCGTAGAGCACAGGTCTCACCAGGCCTGCAAGCATATTGGGCTGTCCTAGCTTCCGTTGCTCATTGATTCCGCGTCACTTGATGGTGACTGGCCCGCTCAACTGCGCTTTACCTGCTCGTGGTTCACGCCTTGCTTGGCCTGTTCGATATGAGCGACGTCTTAGACCTTTACCGCCAGTGAAGGGAACAATCCCACGAGATGCACCTTCAGTATATGAGGTTGATACTTTGAACGGACGGAACGGAACCTCAATTCTGACCCTTGACGGGAATGGAAGCTCTACGTATGGCAGCACGGCGCAAATGTCTTCGGGCTTGTCGAAGCAAGACTTCGGCAAGTTCGTGCAATTCTTTCGTCAGGCTTCGCCCTACGTGGAAGGACATCGCGGCAAGACTTTTGTGATCGTCATCCCCGGCAACGTGAGGGTTCGTAGCTTTACTAGCTGCAGCCTGCCGATGGTGCTTTGACTGCTTGGTTTTATGGACTCTTCAGGTCTCCGCTAATCGGCCGTTGCTGCAAAGCATTATGGCAGACATCGCCTTGCTCCATGGTAGGGTTTTCAGCCCTGGGGCTACCCAGGGTTAAACGTCTTTTGAAGCGACTAGTGAGGGAGTTTCCTTGCATACCGTAGGCCTCGGGGTTCATGTTATACTTGTCGTCGGGGCTCAGCAGCAAATCGATGACATGCTCAAGGAGCGTAACATGACGCCCAAGTACGTTGGTGGATATCGGCTCACGGACCGCGAGGCGATGCGCATAGCCATTGAAGCGGCGGGTCAAATTCGGACGACGTGTGAGCAGTTTCTCAGCAAGGTAAAGCTACAGAGGGATGCGGGGATGTGGGACGGCCATGGAAAGCGGCGGCCGGGGCAGACCACTTTCCTTCAAATGGGAAGCGGCCTAAGCGCACGCGGAGGCAGTCCGCTTCATATTTAAATGGGAAGGCGCGGCGCCCAGGATGCTCCGAACAGCCCAGCTGCTTTCAAAGATAGGTCAGCGTGTCGCCCTCGTCAAGTACGACAGCAGACCTGCCATCTATGACGCCCTCAACCTCCATGCAACGTGGCTGCACGCAAGCGCCCAGCCGCACAGGGAACATCGCCGTGTATGTGTATATGTGTGTGGTCTCGCCAAACATTTCACCACGGCCCCCTCACGCCCACCCTTCCCGTCTTTCCCCCACGCGCGCGTATTCGCATGATGTGGACCCCCGGCCCCGCCAACTCCCCCACCTCGCACTCCCGGATGTGGGGGCCTTATCACGCGCCACCCGTCCCTTCACTTCCCACGCTCTTCCCCTCCCGCCGCTTCTTCCTCCCTATCCCAACAACCCGAATTTCTACATATTCACAAATTCATAACGCATGCACTTCCTCTCCATATTTATTACCATCCGCACCTGCCCACCGCAGGGCCCCGCTATTCCCATGTTCCGGCGCCACACGAAGGGCGACGGGGAGGTGCACTTCGAGCCGGCACTGCGAGTCATCTCCGGGAACTACATCACCGCCAAGCGACGCGGGGTGCTCGACGGAGTGGACTTTGGGCTGACGGGCGAGGTGGGTCGTTGGTAAAGGGGAGGGGAAATGGGAGGGAGGAAGGGAGGGAGGGAGGGAGAGAGGGAAGGGCGAAGCGGAAGCCCAGTTTTGAGAGCAAGGAGAGGTATGTCACTATCATCACCATCATCATCATTATCAGATTTATAACCATAATCGGCATTATCAGCACCCAGAGCTACATATCGAGACCTTTTGTGCAGAGGCGTATTAGAAGAATGGGAGGGAATAGGTGACGGAATAGGTAGGGAGATATAAAGAGGTGGATTTAGGCTGCAGGACCGGGTACGCACTGGCTGAAGCGCAAACAGGGGGAGCGGTATCTTCGTCAACCGCGTAACCGCTATCACGTGCGTATGTGGGTTGGGTGGCGAGGGAAAGGGCCGTTTAAGCCTGGCACCTAGCCCTGGTTGATGAAGATACCCGCCAACGGACCCGCGGACCGACGGTATCTCCGGCCACCAGCAGCTCGCTTGGTAGCAGCTTCAATTGCGGCCCTGCTCCAGCAGCTCCCAGCGGCGGCAGTCGTATAGGAGGCTGCGTGGCCCCGCGGCTGGAGCTGATAAAAGGGGTTTTCTTGAGTAGTTGCCTTACTGCTTAGGGGTCGTACAGACGGAGGGGTACCTGCAGGCAGGAAAGTTGTGCTTGCTTCCGTGGGAGGTGGGGGGCGAGCCTGGTCACCGAAATTGAAAGACGGGCTTCACGGCGCAGCTGATCATTATCATGCAGTGTCGGACACCCCTCTCTACGTACCTTTGCTTTGTATGCAGGCAGTTGTTTTCATTGACCTTGCATGTTGATGATTTCCCTCCCTGCCTTCATGCCAGGTCCGGTTCGTACTCAAGGACGATATTCGTCGGCAGCTGGACTCCGGCAATATCGTGCTGCTGTCCAATATCGGTAAGTAACCGTTTACTGGGGAGCAAACAGCAGGCTTGTGACTGGGGCTGTGTGGGTTTATGTCTGTATGGGTGTATGGGAGGGGAGGGCCGGTGCTGACTGGTACCCGGCGGGGGCATAGCCGGGTAGCAAGGAGGAGGAAGACCTGAGAATGCAGGCGGTGCTGACCCGTAAGGTCTTTAGCGCTGCCGCTGTCATCTCCGCTGCCGCTGTTGTTGCCAGTGCTGCTGTTGCCAGTGCTGCTGCCGCTACCGCTGCCGTTGCAGCTGCAGTACGCGGGGTATGGTGTGCTGCCCAAACGCAGCTGCACCCCCCCCCCCACGCCTTATTCTTGCCACCCTTTCCGGGTCCGCACTCTACCTTGACCTCCTCAACCCTCAACCCTTTAGCGGCTTCTTTCCTCTCACTCCGCCTGCCCCTTCGTCCGCCCGCCCGCCGCCTCCCCGCCTCTCAGGCTTCACGGCGGCTGGGGAGGTGCTGAACTGCAACACCTACGACGTGGGCCTGCACGCGGCTGCGGAGGTGGGGACGAGTCAGGGCCAGCTGCTGCTATGTGTGCTATACGGCTTCCCCTTCTTCTTCTTCTTCTTCTTCTTCTTCTTCTTCTCAAGCATGGTGTCTTAACGTGCTTATCCTCGAAACAGTCACAGTTGAGCGGTTTACAGAAAGATTATATCTTATGTTGTTTCTGTGTATTTGTATACATGTGAAATGACCTTGTTTTGACGTTTTCTGTGTTTGTTTTTGCCTGTTCGTCCCTTGTGGATTTGTACGTCCGTCCGCGCACCCACAGCTGGGTGCCGACAAGTTGTTTTTCCTGCACCTGGACGAGGTGGCGGCTCTCAATTTGCCGCAATGGCTGCCGTTGTCGGAGGCGCAAAACATGCTCATGGAAAAGCTGCAGGTGTGTCTCTGTACGTGGAGGATGGGGGTGGGAGAGGAGAGAGGGGGTTCAAAGGAAATAAGCGATCATGTTTAAATGCCGCATGCAAAGCACAAGCGCCATTTATTTTAATGATGAAAATAATGAAAACCCTTGCGCCTGGGGGTGGGGAAGAGGGTTGCTGCTGTGGGACGCGGCAACGAGCTCCACCCCGGCCCGTCCCATCCCGTCCTGGACGCGGCAAAAGCGTCCACCCTGGTGCATCCCCTGGTTGGTGTTGCCCGGCTAGTTACATACCTGGTGCGGCTAAGGTGGCTATCCTCTTGTGTGTGTTTGTATAAATATGTGTGTATATTATATACGCTCTATGTCTGATGACTCCCGCCCGCCCGGTGTTGCGCCTCCCTTACCCTCCTGCTCCAACCTGCCCCTGATATCCCCGTACCCTCCGTCCTGCATTGTCTGCATACCAGAACTCGATCAGTGCCCAGCAAATGGTGGCGCTCAAGGCCAGCATGGACACAACCATCCTGCCAGCCACGGGGCCGAACGCCGGGCCGCCCGAGCCGGCGTCGGCGTACGGCGCCGCGACGTCGCTATCGGCCTCCCAGCTGCGTGCCTACCAGGCCATGAAGCGGGAGGAGCTGGTGGTGGATTTGGATATCTGGTCGGCGCAGGGCTTCCCGACTGCGGTGTCCACCTGCGTGGTGGCGTGCTGCAAGGGTGAGAGAGGGTGGAGTGCTGGGAGGTGTATAGCGTGTGTGTGTGTGTGTGTGTGTGCGTGTGTGTGTGTGTGTGTTTTACGCCTCCTGGAGTCGCGTTTTGCTATCCAAAAGGTGTAACCTGGGGTCTCGTATGTACGATGGGGGCCCTCAAGTTAAGGGCCACAAGTGGGAGGTGGTGGTGTTGTGATGGTGTTTTTTCCGGTTGATAGCCACCTCCCTCGGACACACGCATCCCACGTATTCGCACTGTTAGCACACCACAGGCATCTCCCTGCCTTCATTCACACATCCCTTTCCCATCCACGCACACATACTCTCAATACTGTAATGTAATGTCGGTAACTTATGTTTGTGGCTGAGATCGCTGGCGAGTTATGGGCAGTTGGGGCCAGCTGCATCGTCGGTTTGCATCACTACGGCAGTAGGTGGTGCTTTGGGCTATCTACAGCGTTATTAGGTGCGCTGGATGTCTCAGCAGTTGGCGCTTTCATTTTTGCAGGTAATGCCCCCCTTCCCCGCCGCCACACTTACCAGCAGCTTCAATCGTTCGTGGTTCGTCTTTCCCCACACCCACCACACGGGAAGACTGCACAGACCTCCACGCACTGCGTTTTTTCTCGACGAAGGCGATGTTCCCGCATCATGCACAGCCTCACCCCGCACTCTCTCCTCCTCTTCCCCTCCCACGTCCCCCCACCCCACCCCACACAGGTGTCAAACGCGCCCACTTGCTTGATGCACGCATTGACGGTGGGTTGCTGCTGGAGCTGTACTCGCGGGACGGAGTGGGCACCATGATCTCCGCGGACTTCTATGAAGGTAGAAGGAAGGGGGGCGGATAGCGGTTCTGGGGGAGGGAGGGCCCAGCGGGAGGAGAGGCCGTGAATGATCAGCATGCTATCTACCTGTGTCTGCATGTTTGCATATCTGTCTGTCTCTGTCTGTCTGCCTATCTTGTTCGTGAGGTCATGGGTTGAGGCTGTTTTGCCGTCCAGTCCGTCCAGAATCCAGCCCTCCATGTACGCCCCATCCTTCCTCCTCATTTTTGAGAACGAGTCAGCGCGGTTGATTCCTTGCATTCTGTATATGCATTTCTTACATCTTGCGTTCATACTGCAGTTACGACGCCCTCTCCCTCCCTCCCTGGCGCCCTTCCTGGCGCCCTCTCCCTCCCTCCCTCCCTCGCTGGCCCCTCTCACTCCAGGCATCCGTAAGGCCCTCCCCAACGACCTGGACGGACTGGCTGCCCTGCTGGAACCGCTGGAGAAGGCGGGTAACCTGGTGAAGAGAACCCGGGAGGAGCTGGGCGACCTGATACCCAATTTTACGGTGGGTGTGCGGAGAGGGGGAGGGCCGGGGGAGGGTGGGGACCCGAGTCCGTGCTGGGGGCTGGTCGCTATGGCACGTATGTTATGTGCGTGTGTGTGTGTGTGTGTGTGTGTGTGTTCCGCAAGTGCTCGGACATGCGTAAATCCCATGCACCTTCAAACCTGCTCCACACTGCTATCACTGCCATGTGCTCGCTTCGGTAGTTGGTCTTCAGCACGCATCTACATGATCTCTGCTGACCTCATCTTAGCCATCCCTCTTCCCTCTTCCCCCTTGAGCTGTGCAGCCCCTCTTCCCCCCTGACTGGTACCGCCTTGCTACCTTGCAGTGTTTAACTCATGCACCCGACCCCGCCCTTTCCCCCCACCCCCACCCCCACCCCCAACACACATCGTCTGTTGGACGGATCTCCCCTGCGCCCCTTTACCTTCACCTTACAACACTGACGCGAAGGTTATTGAGCGCGACAACCGCATCCTGGGCGCTGCACTGTTGCTGGACCTGGGTCAGACACCTGACGGGGTGACGGTGGCGGAGGTGGGCGCCTTCTGCGTGGACCCCGTGTACAGGTGCGTGCGTGCGTGTGTGTGTGGCGCGTTCAGCGATACGTGTGTGGGTGTGGGTGTGTGTGGGTGTACATGTTTAACGTCTTGGGTTGAAATGCGGCCAAAGTCAGCCAGACCTGGAAAAGAGAGACCTGGGCACGGCAAGCAAGGTCCAGGGAAGGTCCTAGCATGCAGCACGGCGAGGTATACAGTTTTTTTTATGAGTGTTTATTTTCTTAACGACGTGCGGTTTGTGCATTTGGCGCTTTTACGATTGCCTGTGGCGTGCTGGAACTCCAAACGCGGTGTGAGACCGGCAACCGCATTAAAGGCTATCTCAAGAGGGTCGCCATGGGCCCCTTCCCGGGCGATGGTTTGGGGAACGTTTGCTACATCAGCCCCATACCCAACCATACAGCACCAAGCACCAAGCACCAAGCCCCGCTCCAACGAGGGAAATTTTCCGGCAGGAACAGCTGATTCAGTGTTCGGCTGCTCTTCCCCACCTCCTGCACTCACTCCTCATGCCGCCGCCCCTCCCACATTCTAGGAAGGGAAGTAAGATAAGGCACTGCGAAGGGAAGCCCTGAAACCTCCGCTCTCTTGGCCCCCCCCCCCCGGCACTTGTTCTCCCCCCGCAGGGGCAGTGGCCGCGGTGACTCCCTGCTTGATTACGTGGAGCAAGACGCCCGCGGTCGGGGCATCCAACGTTTGGTACTGCTTACCACCCGCACCGCCGACTGGTTCGAGCAGCGCGACTTCCGGTGGCAGGGCGCCGCATTCGCCTCGGAGCTGCTGCCGCTGGCGCGCCGTGCTCGAATCAACCCGGCACGCAACAGCCAACTGTACGTCAAGAACTTGGAGGCGCCGGCGGACGACCTGACGGCGCCCGGCAAGAGGATTGGATTTTGAAAAAAAGGGGAGGGGGTCGCGTGGGCTATATCCCCTTCTCGTTGTTGCTGCTGTCTCTCCATGTCTGTATGTCTGTCTGTCTGCCTGCCTGCCCGTGTTTGTATTTCCATACATACTGCTATCATGCCCCTGGGCAGTGCCCGTACTTGTGCGATTTTCCAGCCTTGGTTCTTTTCAGAGGGCTGCTAGGTCCGGTACGGTTTTGGGGTTTGTATATTAAAGGGTTGTTGGCTTCGGCGCTGCTTTTCCTCTGAACCTTCTCCCCCCCACACACACCTTCTCCTCCGCCTCTTACTGCTGCTGCCGTTGCTGCTCGTTCATGCTCTTTCAAGGGTGGGTGAGGGAGGGAGGAGGCGGAGGTGGGCCCGGGGGGTGTAGTCGGAGGAGGCGGCGGTGGGGCCGGGGCGGAGATTTTCATGCAGGCAGCGTGCATAAGGCATGAGGAGGTCACCAGGAGGTTAATGGAGGGGAAGAGAGAGAGAACGTGTGTGTTTTATGGTAGAGAGGGTGTGTGTCTCTCGGTGTGTAGATGTGTGGAGAAGTGGGCCCACGCCGGGGTGAGGCGCGGGCCGGGGATGAGATGGGGCCCCTGCCATGTACGGTCCCGCACAGGTTGATGTACGGCAACAAAACTAATTGTGACAACTTACGACACGCTTTTATCCTCGTTGTATGCGGTTGTTGCTAGCAGTGCTCCTCCACCTCCTGCTGCTGCTGTTTGCAAATAGGGCACTGACCGGGATGCGTCCATCACGTGCACCCTCCTCCCTAGCTTGCCTTTGCCTGTTGTCGCGGACTGTTTGGCCGCCTGAGGTGCCGTACTGCTGCCTCATACTTCCTCCGTCAGTGGTCCGCGGCTTTCCTTTGGAAGTCCAGGGATCGGGGAAGCGGGGATACACATAATCCCTATCAGTTTGGAAAAGGCTCTGCATGGGTTTTCTGAAGGGGTAGGGAGAGAGAAAGCGGCAAAGCAGGAAAGGGGGAATCTTGCGGGTGGTGGTGGTGGTGGTGGTGAGGTTTTGTCTCGTCTGTGCTTCCATTTGCGTCTTGGTGATCTGGGTCTTGTCAAGACTGATTGGTGGGATAATTTTGTTTGTTTCTCATTCTGTAATCTCGACTTTGTATTTGCATTCTTGCGAAAAGGGAAGCATCTCTTGAGGAAAAGCAAAAGAGCATTCGTGACTGGCGTGTGTGCCCCTGTGTTTGCGTTCTGGGTCTGTTCCGTGTTGGTGTGCCCACGTGTGTGCTGGTGGGTGGGAGGGAAGGTCCTGAAACTGATGTGTGTGTGGGGGGGGGGGCTGTGTGTATGTCTATGGGGTGTACGCGTTGCGTATTGTGCGGGGCCTGGTCGCCGGACGGTAGAGGATATTTTGGCTTTCATTACGCGCTGGTCGAGGTTGGCCTCGGGCACCACCTCTACCACCGCGGCGGGATTTCGTTTGCTTCTTCGTGAGCGGAGAAGAAAGGAATGGATGACGTTGTTATGGAATTGAATTTCCCTCGCTCTGGCCACATATCATGCTCCCACACAATATTTTCCCAGCACTCGTAAACAGAGCCTCTAGATGGTCAGCCAGGTTGAAACCGCTGGCACTCTTTTCTGAGTTCTGGTTTTTCATCAGCTTGGCGGCTGATGTCGGTTGTGGGGCCCAGCGGAGGGCAGGCCCCTGCACCGATCTGCGGCTCTACCTAACTTTCCATTTTCGTTGTGTACCGGGGCAAGGGTGAAAGGGTTAAGGGGCGCTTCGTGCGTGTAGGGATTTAGGTAGGGATTTAACACAGCTGCTGTTAGGCTGCTTGTTGTTTTCGGGTTTGGCCACCGCGTCCGCCGCCGCCACAGCAGCGCTTACGGAGTGAGGTTGTATTCACGGCGAAGGGGGGGGTTAAGGTTTCGTGGGCGGGCGGCGCTCGGAGGAACAGGCGTGGGAGAACATTTATGTCGTAAATGCGGTTCAGGGGAGGTTCAGAGGGGGGTTCCGGGCAGAAGTTGTGCCCGTTTGTTGATGCTGGCTGGTTGCAAACGTTGAACGAGTGCTTAGTCGGTTTGGACTGTGTGGAAGCGTCACAGCCTGTATTATGGGATGAGATCCGAGAGCGGTATTTTATGGGCGGCGGCAAAAGCTGCACCACGAGGAAGTTTGGAGCGCCGGCCGTTTGCGACCTCAGAGCTCATCTCGTGCCATCTTGTCCAGAAAGCTGAGAGTTAGCCCAGTCTTGAAGCGACCTGAAATGTTACTTCCAATACATTTATATATATATTGTAATTCTTGCCTGCCCTTGTGTTTTCCTCTTCCCATACTGAAAGGGTTCAATGTTCGGCTGTCCAGCGTCTGGTGATCGCCCGCACTTTCTCGCCTGCTTCATTCATGATATTCCATGTGGTAAAATGTTTGCATGTTCAGTAGTTAACGCACGGGCTACACAAAAGCGATGAAATATGACTCGTAAACCCGCCATACAAGCATGTTCATGCCGCGTTTCTCGCGCACGTTTCGACCGTCGCGGGCCTCGGTAGCAGGTTTACAGGTCACATCACAAATCAATCATTTCGTTTTGGGCTTAAAGAGAGGCCTCTCAGAGGACAAGACCTGGAATCTTATGAAGACGACGTCAATCACGGAACAGGTTACATGAGCTATTGTGCCAAAACTTCAACGGAACGCAACCCTCTTTGCTCTTTTGTCCGCCGCGTTCCGTCTGTTCTCGTCTCTCCTGGGGCAGCTCTTGTGTGTTCACTGGGTGCTGTTGGGGAACTTGGTGTTTTGCATCGTGGAGGTCTGTTTTAGTCCGTTTGGCTTTCTTGAGGCGAAGGTTCGCATCCGGTTTTTTCAGGTGGTTATCTTCCTGGTAAGGCTTTGCTTCGCCAATTTCATAAGCCCATCCTGGGCTTTTATCACCTGTTTCAGGCAACCCGCACATCCACCGGCTCAGGATATCCTGAGTCGGGTGCTTTTAACGTGTTTCGTTGCAGTAACAGAGGGAATAAGCTCGGTGATGCTAATGCGCCCTGGCCTGACTAGCTGGACACTCAGTGCAAGCTTTAGGACCCACCGCATACAAGATGCAACTTCAACTTATGGAAGATGTTCCTTGATTCGATTTGTTGCTCAGTCCTGCCGTGTTGCGTTACAGTAGGTAAGCCGCCAGCCATCAGCTCGGCTTGTCAGCAAACAACCTGGCGGCAAAACCCCCTCCCGACACCAACCCATTGTGAAAGTTGCCCTAGTGGCCGATAGTGATGTAAGTTGCCTAAGTTGCACCGCTTAAGAGCCTCAGGATCTAAAGGGCTCCGACAAGTGCCGAAGAGCCACATGGAACGATCCACCCAAAGCAAAGCGAACAAAACCAGGAACCATTGCGTTGGGACAATCCGGGGATTGCCTTAGGTGAGCGGGTGGGTGTCCCAGCAGCAGGGCACACCTCTTCGGTAATAGTCAAAACAACGGCAGTTAAAAAACCAATGGGCCTGCGAGACCAAGTAAAAGGTTGGCGTCCCTTGCCGTACTGTGGTCCGGCACATGCATTCATGCATGCATGCACCCTACTTCCACACCCCACGTCAGCTCCTCCGCGATAACTCGCCTATCTCTACACTCATACTTCGCGTCGAGGCGTCGAAGCATGCTTTGTGTGCCTCGCGACTTGCAGCACTCTCGAACCAAACTCAAGGCCACTAACCTTAAACGCAAACGATAACTAAAAAAACATATGCGTGCATCTCTCATCAGCTACCACGGCATGCAAAGTACACGAACTTCATTTGATGCTGCGCTGCAGTAATGTAATCTCTCAATCATTACATACACTCTGTTCTGCCTGAATAAGAGATAATTTCATGAACATGATTTAATTCGAGCGCCGCAACTCCCATCCACACAAATAAATACAAACGGTCAGCATGACAGCTGCAGTTGCACTTGTCGAATATAGCCTTCTAGTTCACATGCATACATACGAAATTTGCTGGTCGCATGTGATATTGTGCGCATTAGGTGCACATGCGCCAAGCCTTTTTTTTAAACCACCTCCCAACGCCGTACACATGCAGCAAGCCTACTTTTGACCACGAAGTGCCATTACATACGACTACATAGTAATAAGTAAAGATTCAAATAAAGGAAGCGGATGGAGCAATACGTACTCCGTACTCTCACGATTACCGTTGAAACTCCCTGGTCCGTTACAGCTAACCCCAGACCGTCAAATACGACCGCCATCACGACCATCGAAGTTGAGTCAAAGTGGACGCACCAAGAAGCGCCTAAAATAGCTCACAGCACAAGTGCAAGGGTGTAAACGCAAAACCGAGAAATGTTCACTCATGCAAAGATGTGCTTGATCAAAAGTTTGCCTTGCATTTCTTTACTTCCGGATGCCGAATTACGAGGTTGTCATAAGCGTCGCGCTGTACGGCGGCGCCATGATCAAACTGCTTGCCAGCGTTTGGTTGATAGCAGTGTAAGCACGCTTTTGGGGATTGAAACCTGCGAACCATACATGCACGGAAAATTGCACAGGCCAGGCGTTGGCCAGGCGGAACACAACCCGAAAAAAGAGGTTTGTCATGGCGGGGAAATTGTGGTTTCGTAATGTCATCATCACAACACATTCAGAATATGCAAGAAATGGAATCCCATGAAACCCAAAAAGATACGATCCCGTCAGTTGCCCTGGAACCGCCGCGTTGTTTTCCCACTTCACTTGCGCCTACCCTTTCCTCGTGCCGTACCTGTGACGAGCATGGAGTAATTGCGGTACGTGCTGTACGCCGAGTTGACCGCGTTGACCAGCGTGTCTGGGTCAATGTAGCCAATCGCTTTATTGTTGAACATAGAGGAGAGAGACCGCATGCGAGAGCTGATGGTTCGATTCAGGAAGGCGTCAAAGGGCTTGTCGCTGAAGTTGCCCCGGAGCCAGAAATTCGTCTGGTTGATGTCACGGTACATGGTTTCCGCCAATGAGCGCAGACGTACCTCGTACACCCTTATGTCCTGTACATGTACGACAACAATATACAATACATCAGATCACCGCGCAGATTCAAAACTCTATACCACACCACACAGATCCAAAACTATGCACCGTGGCAGCGCATCTAAAAGCCTTAGCCGGGCATTTGGTTAATACTTTTGCTAGCATTGCTGCCCGTGGTGTGTCGCATTTCGACCGTTACGGACACATCTCTCTTCACCGCCAAAGCGGTGCGTAGCAACACCAGGATTCGGGCTAAATCCGCGTCAACCAGTACATGTACGGCACATGCATCGGCATGGCAACACCGCGGGCGCAGTAGGAACGACAGCATTGGCAGCAGCAGGACCACTAGCTTCAAGATCGCATGCTCGCAGATAGATTCAGGGAGTATCACGGGTGCCCCCCGCCCCCACCGTAGTGGGGCTACTCGGAGCCGCTTCGAAACCACTTGCCTTGCCCATGTTGACGGATGGCGCGTAGGCCCCTACGGCGAAGAAGGCGGCCGACAGAAAGCCCGCAACAATGAGAGTGAAGACCCAAGCCAAAATTTGTTTGCCGAAGAGCTTGTAGTTGACGCCTGTGCGAATAGATTCAACAAGGCCGACACCAATCTCCGCCCCCGTGATACATTGAGTCGTGGAGATAGGCAGGCCGTACACTGATGCCAACGACACAGTGAAGGACGTCGCCAGCTCCGCACAGTAGCCACGAGACGGCGTCATCTGCATACATTTACGAATAGCAACAATCATTTAATCGTCGTACGGTGTGCATTTTTGTACTGCATGGATGCTCACGCACATACATACCTTCGCCAGACCAACACCCAGCGTCGACATAATGTTGTATCCGTACGTCGCCAACCCCACCACGATGCCGCTGCCGCCCAGCGCCAGCACCCAGTACGGCGTATCACCGTTGGACGACACAGCCCACTTGCGGTACACGTACCTGGGAGTAACGTATGGTAAATTAGGCAATTAATTCCATCGTCCCGCACTGGAAAGAATTCCAGAAAGGTTGTACGTTGTTGTTTCCTAGTCAGCTACTTAGGTTGACGTCCGTATTATTTTCATTTCGATCTAGATCCTGGAACTCACCAGATTCCGGAGAACGGTCCCACGGCGTTGGCCACATCGTTAGCGCCGTGGGCGAAGGACACCGCGCAGGCCGAGAAGACCTGCAGATACTTGTACACCTGCTCCGTCTCGGGGTTGAAGATCTCCGCAGCGGCGTGCATGTCGTGCACCTCCTGGTCGGTCTCCACTTTCTACAGTACGACACATGGTACAGTAGCGGTACGTAATGGATTCGCCAGCAGCGGAACTGAAGGCATGCGATAACGTGCGAGCGCGCAACTGAACGCAATGTCTCTGGCACGCGCAACGGCTCAGGGGGGTGCTGAGTCACGTAATCAGTTGCAACACGCTGTGTATAATCACGCTGCATCACACAGCACCGCTGTCCAAGCCCCGCGCGTATCTGCGATTGAATCCTTGCTCGTGGAATTCTTTTACCAGGATAAGCTCCGTAGCACACGCGTTCAAGCCATAAACTAACTGATGAATGGCCGCATCGATAATCCCAGGAGCAGCGGAGTGACGCTGACGAACAGCGATGTTGCGCATGAGCCACCAGCATTGCGGATGCGTATCCTTTACTTGAACTAACCAGCATGGTGCGGGGTGGGCAGGATTACCACGCCCCCGGAGGCCCCCGGCGAATGTGACACACACACGAATACACACACGAATACCGTGCCTCCGTCGCTGGATTGCGGAGCTCGCGTCGATAAATTTAACTGTAATATGTCCTTCATCGCCATTTCCCTCATTGAGGTTCAGCTCATTTTCACACCACACCACACCACACCACACCACACCAGAACACCACACCAGAACATCACACCAGAACACCACACCAGAACACCACACCAGAACACCACACCAGAACACCACACCACACCAGAACACCACACCACCACACCACACCACCACCACCACCACCACACCACACCACACACCACCACCACCACCACACCCACAAAAGAGCACACGCATCCCAAGGCCCGTCGGTGAACTGATTGCTGCGAACCTAGTTTGTGGCCGCCCCCGTCGCATGCGCTCGAGAGGTAGTTAGCGCGACTTTCTTGAACACCTTTTCCCCGCTACGCCGCAACGGAGAATCGGGTGAGACTGAGCTTTCTAGTAGGGCTTCGTGCCTTAGTAGGGAGGGGTAGGGTCGTACAAGGATTCCGGGTTTCAGGGTAGTGAACCCTCATCTCAAGAGCCGGATGCAGTCTTGTTTCGTGTTTCAGGCGCAGTGCGCAAACTCGCGTGACGGAGCCTTGACTCGTGAGAGCGTGAGAGCGTCCGCGCGTGCGGCGCTTCCCAATCCCGGGGGAGGAGAGCGGAGCTAGCGGACCTGCGGCTCTCGGCTGCTTAAGAGGAAGCCCTCACGGCCCCTCAGGGAGAGAGCTTAGGCGGTCTTTCCGTTGGGGCTGGGCAGCAGTCCCTGGCCAGTGTCAGGCCCGGTCAGATACTTGTAACCTCTGCACAAATCCACACACAAGAGCACACATGCACACCGGTGCCGTAGGCCTCACCTTATGAATGTCTTTGTTAAGGCCGTGTGTGGCCGCCTTTTTAATCTTGTTAAGGAACTTCATGTACTTAGATGTGGGTTCCGGCTCCTCCAGCTCTTCCACCTGCATCTTGTCTGCGTTGGCCTCCGCGTCTGCCGCCTTCTGTGCAGCCCTGCGGTGCGATTGGTGGTGTACAATCCGAAAGTAAGGAAGACGCGGAAGCAGCAGCAGCGACAGCGGCGGGTTTTGCAGTCTCAATCGCTATTCTCCTCTCCTTTCCACCACCAGGTGGATGCCAACATAGAAGTTGCCCAGCTGCCAGCTCGGCACGGCAGGCAGACCGATTGTAAGTAAATGACTTAAGCCAGGGTTACGCAAACAAATCAACATGGAACACGCAGCGTGTCGCGACACTGTCGCGAACTGCTGTAACCGTTTCTTGTTCATCACCTCCAGCAGTCCCCCGTACCGATGCACAATTTCACGTTGTCCGACTAATCCGTCCTCAACCCCGACAGCCACCGATCAACCGTAAGAGCTTCAGCCAAGTCTCCTAGGCCCCTTTATGCCGAGAAGGTTGCATACTCGAGAATGCTGTCCTGCACGCCATACGCCCCGCGCTCATAAGACCTCGGGCTCGGTGCCTTCTTGACCCGCTCCCTACCTCTCCATGTCGCGTCGCACTGCCCAGCGTAGCAGCGGAATACCTGGCACACACGCCAGGAGGACGCAGCCACCGGACACTGCACCCGATACCCAGGCGGCCTTGTTGGAGTTCCACTTCACGACGGCCTTGGCGCCCTTAGAGATCACGAAGAACAAGCTGTTGGTCGAAAGGACGGGACGCAGGCGATGAGGGTTACATGAATTACGTCTTCCACATGCTTATGAGTGTTGTTTGCGACCCCATCACCCTCACGACCCGAACCCCCCTTTCTTTAGACCTTCTCCAAGATCCCGATCACAAACACACAAAGCTTATGATGAGAACACCTAACAAGGCATCAGACGGGCAACGCGGCTTACTTGATGAAGACGGTAATGCCAACAAGGACGGGGTACATGTAGATGGCTGCATGGAGGCACGGCACAAACAGGCAGGGCAGGTGGTGCGGCACTGATGGGGGCACACGGGGGCGTCGGTAGTGCGGCGCGATTATGGATATATAGATGGGCCCTCGTGCCGGGTGCAGCTTTCGGTTCCCTCGACTGAATTGCTCGCCCTTAGCCAACCCGCGAGTCTTCTTTCAGCACTTACATCACTGCACCGCAGTGACACATGTTAAGTAGCAGCAGCAGCACTCGACACGCACGACGGTCTCACCCAGAGTTGTGCTGTTTTGACGACGCAGGATGATTAATCGATTGATGAAGAACAGGAAGGCTGCGGATATACCCGCGCACAAGGGCGATACGAACCAGGAGCAGACGACCGGTACGAGGCCCTTGGAGTAGGGGAACGCATTCACCTGTATGCAGATTAGGCAGCAGAATTAAAAAAAGCAGCGAGGGAAGCAGCAGAAGCTACGGCAGCCGAATTGAACAGCAACAGCAACCAACATTTCGGAATTATCAACAAGCGCCATAGTTCCGAGCGCTGAGGGACTTCTTGTTCTTATCCCGGCAGCTTATCAGAAATGCGTCTGAATGACTATATCTGTGGCTATCCACTACAAAGGAATCAGGAGTTCAGCAGCATCATGGAGAAGATGCTGGGATCAGTAGCTGTGGCTGCGAAAGTATGTGATGGTGCTGGCGGCAGTTGCGGTAGTTGCCTAGGAGATATCGTTCAGTTGGGAAGGGAAGTTGAGGTTCATGCACCGAGCTGGATGGCCATGTGGATGGGGCTGGGCGCCGGCTGCTTATCCGCCCAAGCCTCACGCCTCCCTAAACCCCTGGCTCTGCCGGACGACTGCGCACCTTGTCGTTCCAGACAACGGCGCTCTTGCCTTTCCAGACCAGGGCGAATCCGAGCACGGCACCAACTGCAGCATAGGTAGCACCGGTCCCTTGTAACTGTCGTCCATGTCATGAACTAAATCTAGAGCACAGTAGCATACTTTGGCATGGTGTACCGGGTGGCCAGGTACACCTACAGGCTAATAAGGCAGTAGACAAACCACCTCAGAAGCCACACAGGACACGGCTGAGCATGTGGTCAAACCGAATTCTGTACGCATGCGCGTACTTATACACGCCCACACGCACGGTGGTACACCTTTTGGAGCCTATACCCTATCCCACATAATTCATGTTTCTCGTACTACACCGTACAGAATTGAACTTACTGACGCTATGTGTTGTACTGACTGCGAGGCAGAAGTACGTCGCCGTAAAGACCCAGGTGGACGCAGCCACCAGCGCGCATAGCATACCGAAAGCGAACAGCTCTGTGCGCAACCCCAGGGGAAAAGGAGAGGAGGGGGGGAGCGAAATCGTGTCCAGACCACGCACCAGAAGTGCTGATAAACCTCCAATCATGCAGGTGCAAGGGGGCGTGGCAAAGATAGCAACTCACAGACCCCAACAAGGTGATGGACGGATTTGGGGAGGAACATACAACTGCCTTCCACGCGCTTCACCATGCAGCCCAAAACTGGAACCAGCTGGAGGCATAAAGTCAAAAAAAGTGTTGACGCTGATCTTGTGTTCACATAACAGATGTCTGCTGCAACTAATACACTAAAGTTCCCAAGTCTTCAGACCTTTTGCTAGCCGTGTGCGTGTCTCGAGGCCGCGTACCGGGATCATCTCGGAAAGCTTCCGGTCGAGCAATGTTTCCGGCGATGGTTTTGGTCACCTCGCCACCCAGGCCGATGGAGCCCGCAAATTCGAACACGGCAGCGATCTGCGGAACGGAAGGAGATAATGGTTGCGATTGGTTTTATGCCATCGGGCCGAAGATCGGCTCTAGAGAGGCGTTCAGTGATCCGAAACTGCAGGCTGGTTGCGCGTTGGGCGAAACGAGCGATTGCAAATGGTGCCGATTGCGTGGTGGTTACAGGAGCACACCTTGAAGGAGAACCTTGCCAATGTCAGTCGGTTCATTGCGGCTAAGTTGCGGCTAGTGCACATAAACTCAAGGCGTCCTAGGAAGGTCATTAAGGTCATGACAATGCGGGTGAATGATAACCATAGAACGCTGCTGGACAAAGATAGGCGGAATGAACGAGTGTCTTAATATAGACTCAGGCTTCACTTGGTAGGTGGCGTGTAGGCGATGGTGTTAGCGGCAGCGGCAAAAGAAGAGCCTGGCTAGCAGCAATTGGTACCGCTACGCCGGCCTGTCGTTAGGAGGGCAGCATGCGGTGCGTTGGGGCAACAACGGCATACTGTTGACGTGTAGCACTTACCAAGCACGCCTGCTTTAAGGTAATTGTCTTGGCGCCCACGGACGTTCCAAAACTGTTAGCCACTGCGATTGGGGGAAGGGAATGCGCAACACGCAAAAGAAATGACACGTCAGTAACTAGCCACGCTACATCCCTCACAGCAGCACTGCTAGGGGCTACATGCTCCACGCACGGTCAAGGTTTACACGATTGCGGCGACTATAACAGAGGCTAGATTGGACGACGGATAGCGTGTATAACGTTGGAGATGGTGCAAGTGCAGGACGTGGTGTGAAGTCTTCATGTAAAGACTTTCAAGGTAAAGGTCGTTCTCTAGATCAACGTTTCCGCATCGTCGGGCCTTTGTACTTATTTTTCAACGCTTCGACGTCACCCAAGCCCTCACCGGCTTATATCGGTGATATTATCTTACCGTCGTTGGCTCCAATACCAGCAGCCATTACGAACTGCAAGAACAACGCGCAGCATCGGGTGCGTAGGTCAGCAGGGAAAGTTAGTAAGTGAGCAGCACACATGTACACTATAGTCGATCGCTTAAGCCATACACCTAAACTTACAGACATGATTGCGCCACATATCACCAACCACATGTAATCCGTCCAGTAGTCGGGATACCTGCGACAGAAGAAAGCCGTCATTTTGCAAGCGCGATGCTAAAATGCACACGCGCCACTTGTGCTACCATAGATCCTAACAGTAAGACCAATCACAGAACATTGAAGTGAACACGGGCGTTAAGGCATGAAGTTAATGTTCCAACTTTACAAGGAAGGATACCGAGGATAGGATACCTAATCTATCAGCCGCCGAGCCTTACATTTTTATGCAGGCTCAGAATGACTTGTATCGTAGATTAATCACTTTGGAAAGGCCCTCCTGAAGCGGGTTCAGATAAAACTTTGTTCGATGAACGGTTACACAGATCAGTCAGCGCAAAAGAGGTGGTGGCAAAGTAGTCTAATATTGTAATCCATTCCTCCATATAACCCATCATTTTGGAACAATGTCGTAGCATTCCCCTACCGTGGTAGGCATCCAGGGAATCTTGTAGCCTACAACAATGCAAATAAGAAGCGCGATATTACACCTGTGCCACAACTTACTACAGAATGGACATTTTGATCTTGATTTTAAGTTCTTATGATAAACATCGAAATGGCTACAGGATGAAACGATCGCCGCATCCAAGTTGGGACCGAACGTGTCTGACCGACAAGTGCACAACCTGCAATTGACGACACAGAAAATGGAGATGCCGGGATTGAATATAGTTTCCAATCCTCAACTTTGAAGGCCGGACGGCTAGAGCGTTAGTGCTAGTGCACAAAGACGTTCGTCACGAGTTGGAAGTAGTAGGAACTCCAGCACGTTTACTTCACGATAACATACCCCAAGGCCGGGTAGCGCCGATTTCATTACGTGGCGTGGTCACCGCATATACTCAATATGTACCTTCTGACATCTCAACCTCCGATAGAACAGTGGAAGGCGTTTGTGCAATCCTTTGGCGATGTCGCGAGAGGGCGGGTCAAGATTGATGCCCATTTGCTTTGGGCTGGGGACTGTGTGTGTGTGTGTGTGTGTGTGTGTGTGTGTGTGTGTGTGTGTGTGTGTGTGTCTTACAGTGGCTTCTTACTCATGAAGAGTAGAGCCTGCGGGCCAGCTGGCAGTGCATTACTGCACCTGAGACGTTCAGGGCAAACAAGACTCCCACCCAGACCAGACAACGCAAGTGTCGCCTAGACTGCATAAAGCGAACCCAAAGGGAAGGTTTAGAAACCCACAACCACTGGGGGAGTTGCCATTAGACACCCCAATTGGCGAAAGGCCCCAGACCTTCGCAAGACGGCACACCAACAAAAACTGGAAGGAACTTGCACGCTATTACTGGATGAGTCGGGCGATAGACGGGGCGCGCACCGCGATATCGGCCCCCTCCTCGGGGATAAGGAGGCGTCGTGCTGACGTTTAGCCCAGTTGGAGGGCCCCCACACGCTGCGGGTTAGAGCTGCCCTCCCCGTCGGGCGATAGACGGGGCGCGCACCGCGATATCGGCCCCCTCCTCGGGGATAAGCAGGCGTCGTGCTGACGTTTAGCCCAGTTGGAGGGCCCCCACACGCTGCGGGTTAGAGCTGCCCTCCCCGTCGGGCGATAGACGGGGCGCGCACCGCGATATCGGCCCCCTCCTCGGGGATAAGGAGGCGTCGTGTTGACGTTTAGCCCAGTTGGAGGGCCCCCACACGCTGCGGGTTAGAGCTGCCCTCCCCGTCGGGCGATAGACGGGGCGCGCACCGCGATACCGGCCCCCTCCTCGGGGATAAGGAGGTGGCAGCTGATTGTTCCGGGGGTGCATGGTTCGGTCCCCCCCCCCCGTCCCGTTCGATGAGTGTAGGTGCGGGCCCCGCGCCTCCGCAGCAACTTGAGATGGTCTCCGACGCAGTGGCTGCAGAGGCCGCTGCAGCAGTGGTAGCACAGGCGTCAGCCTTAGTGGCGGCGGCCATGATCCCCGAACCGCTCCATCCGGCCCCGGGGCGCCCTTGGTTCGGACAGGCGGGCAGCAAGCTCGTCACCGAGGCGTGGCTGCGGTATGGAGTGGATACGCCAGCGTCCCGCAACGCGGCCGTCTGGACATTCCACACGGAGCCTAACCCGTCCCACCACCTCCGTAACTATCCCTCTATCCTCCCGCACCTCGCCGACATGAGCCAGCACTTCGATGACCTCCTGGCTTCCGGCGTCACCGAGCAATATGACCCCAGCGTGCATGGCTCCGAAACCGACTTCGCGGCCGTCGTCAACCCCCTACACGTCGTCCTCAAGCCAGATGGCTCCATCCGTCCCATAACCGACCCCTCCCGGTCTGGGGTCAATGAGTGCATGACCAAGCTCCCCTGTCCGCTCCCCGATCTCGCCTCGCTTCTCGAACAGCTGCCAGCCAACGGCTTTCTGGGGAAGCGCGACCTGGCGAGCGGGTTCCACCACGTCAAGCTGGCACCAGAGGCGCGCCGATTCATGGCCTTTCGGCACCCCTCCACCGGCGCGCTGCAACGATGGGTCTCCCTTCCCTTCGGCGCCAGTCAAAGCCCAGCGATCTTCGTGGAGCTTACCACCGCCGCCGCCAGCATTTTCCAGCAGGAGTGCGACCGCCGGGGCCTGCAGGTGCGCATCTTCGTCTACGTAGATGACTTCATGATCATGGGTCACTCGCACGCGGACGTCCAGGGCGCCTTTCAGGTCCTCGACGACATCGGCACTGAGTTGGGCCTTGAGTGGAAGGCCAGCAAGGACCGGGGGCGCGACGCCCCCTTGCAGCAGCTGGAGTTCCTGGGCATGCTCTTCGACACCATTCGCATGGAGATGCGTATGGCTCCCGACAAGCGGCAGCGATATGCCAGTGAAGTCACCGCCATCCTAGAGGCGGCCGCCACAGCGCCCGTCCGCCGAGGAGACCTTCAGACACTCGCCGGCCGCCTCACGTTTGTGGCGCGAGCGTGCAGATGGGGCTACACATTCCTGCAGGGCATCTACGACGCCCTCGGAACCTTGCAATACCCCCCGCCGTCATCAGTCGCCCTTCCCGAGGGGGCTCTTGACGACCTGCGCTTCTGGCAGGACGTCCTCCGCCCGGACTCCTCCGTCTGGGACGGCGTCAAGCGCTGTGTTATGGCCAATCTGGACTTGGTGAGGGGGGAATTCTTGGGGGAAGAGGGCGCCACCATCTTCACAGATGCGAGTGGCGCGGGCTTCGGGGCGGCCTGGGACCAGGCCGAGGTGCAAGGCCACTGGTCCGAAGGGGAGCGACGACTACACATCGGCTGGCTGGAGCTCTCAGCGGTCCTGCGGGCGCTGCAGTCCTGGGCGCCACGGTTGGCGGGGCGCCGGGTGCTGGTCCGGTGCGACAACACCCAGGCGGTAGCGGCCATCAACCATGGTTCCACACGCATCCCAGACGGACGGGCCATCAGCCGACAGCTGGCGTTGCTGGCGGTGCGGCACCAGTTCGAAGTGCGGGCGGAGCATATCGCTGGGGAGCTTAACGTCAGGGCGGACCGGCTCAGCCGCAATCTGGAGTTGGCCCGCAGCCAGAATCTGCGCCTCAAACCTCGCACGTTCCGCTCCCTGGTCGGGTTTGGGCCGTATGCTCCCTCGGTGGACTGTTGCTGCGACGTGCTAGGTATCAACGCACAGCCGGGCTGCTCCACCTTCTTCAGCCCGGATAAGTCGGTGCTGGGTCAGGCGGCAACCCTCGCTGGCAAAGTCCTGTGGGCCTTCCCACCCAAGGATTTGGTCGGGGAGGTGCTGCTCGAGATCGTGGCGGCTGCGAGGCTCGACCGGAGCACACGGGCGACTGTCGTCGTGCCAAACTGGCCGGAGCGCTCGTGGTTTCGGCGCTTCGTCGTGGGCACCGGGCAAGGGGCAACCCCGTTTGTGGTATTGGCTGTCCTGCCCAAGGGCCGACGGCACTGCCTTTTCCCGTGGGGGGCCGAGGCCGCGCCCAGCGAGTACGACTTGATTGTGCTCAGGCTCAATTAGATCGCCCCACATTTCCCCTTGGCCAGTGCCGGCAGGCGGTCTCCAGGAGGAGGGAAGCTGCTCTGTCTGCGGGCGTTGCTGCGGAGCTGGGGATCTGCGCTGTGAGGCCTGCCCCTGCTCGGCTCATCGTCGATGCCTTGGAATCTCCCCAGGCGCCTACCCCGGTGGTTGGTACCGCTGCACCACTTGCTTGCTTGCGGCGGCGGGTATCGGGTCAGTGGCCCAGGGGAGTGTTACGGAGGAACTAGCACAGCTGGCCGTGGCGTTGCACGGCAGCGCGGTCGCAGACAGCTCTTCGGTCACGTACGAGTCGGGGCGGCGGCGCTTTGTACGCTTCTGTGCGGAGATCGCAGGGGTACCGGAGGCGGTCGCCCTGCCCCGCCAGCGTGGGGCTGACCTCAATCGGGATCTGGTGTGTCTGTTCATAGCGCATGCAGTTGGCCGGTACGCGACCTCCACCGTCACCGGCACGCTGAGCGCCCTGGCGGACTGGCAGCGGTTCATGGGAGTCTCGCCAGAGGCATATATCAGCCGCGACACGCTGGTCAAGCGAACCCTGGGCCAAGCGTTGCGGAGGACTGCTGCGGGGCCGGAGTCGGCACCGTCCATGGCAAAGGCGCCCCTGCCCCTGGGGGTGCTGAGACTGCTCGTGGCGTGGCTACGGTGCAGGGCAAATGCGGAGCCGCGGAGGGCGACGGAGTTCACACAGGACGCCTGCTGGTTGGTTCTGGGGTTTTTCGGGATGCTCCGGAGGAGTGAGTTGGCGGCCCTGACAGTGGGCTGCGTTGAGGAGTTGCCGGGAGGGGGTGTGGGGCTGCAGATCGTACGTAGCAAGACGGACCAGAAGGGAGAGGGGGCGTTGGTGTGCCTGGCAGCACTCACCCAGAGCGGCATCCCCATTGCTCGCATAGTACAGCGGCACCTGGAGTGCATGCGGACGGCCGAGGGTCACTCCCCCCTCTTCGTACGGGGAATCACTGGGCCGGGCAAGCCGGGGACGGCGTGGCGGCGCGGGGATTTCACTAGTAGGCTGCAGGTGTTGCTGGGTGAGTTGCAGGGGTACGAGCCGGAGTTGAGGCTAGATCTAGCTAGGATATCGGCCCAC